TGTTTTTCTATGGTTTACGTAGAGTTTCATATTTTTAATTAATTCTTTTTACTATTGAGTACCAAATCCGTCTAATTTAGTGCATAATCTCAATCTCAATCTCAAGCTTGTTTAAAAAATAGTAAGGTATTTTGAAATACTTGGAAGAGGTATTTGAAAACTGCATACCACTGTAAAAAAAAGAGGTATTTGAAAACTGCATACCACTGTAAAGGGAATTTAAAAAAGGGAATTTGGGCAAACAGGCCGTGTGTTAGTTTATCACTGGAAAATAGACAAGTTTCCATTTTATAAATATTTGCACTCGCACACACAGCCCAGAAACGGGCGTCGTAAGACAACACAAATTAATTCAAAATATCCTTGAGACACATCCTTCGTCCACTGCCGAGTGAAATCTGGCTGGCTCAAGCAATTGCAGTTGCTCTTTGCCGGTGCGCATCTTAAATGTAATTTGCATTCGAGGCGAGACGAAGTGGAGGGGAGTGGAGTGGAGTGGAGCAGAGAGCCGGGAAAGCCGAACCCTTCGGATTAAGGACTCAAACTCGATGCTCTGCCATGGCTAATTATAATTGTCTGTCTGGCAGGAACGGCATCTAAGTCTGTGTGTTGCGGCCTGCCTGCTGCGCTTAATTTGAGTGGCCGCAAAATGATTTCGAAAGCGCTTAAACTGTAATTAAGTTTTGACATCATTGACCAGAAGTCCGATTAACAAGCGAGAAGGGTGATAGCCGTGAATGATTATCTGGAATGGTAGCCAGTTTCCGTTCGGTAAGGAGATTTTAACAAGCATAAACTTTTGCCGGGAAAAGCATTTCCCAGCAGTTTGTCTTCACTTCAATTTCTTCGACTATTTACGCTCCGCGGCAGATGTGTGTCAATAAGCCGCGAGAGCTCAATGCTGGCCCAAGCGTTTTAAAACTTGCGTCTGAAGGGGCACTCATCTCCATTTGAGCCATAAAGCTAAGTAACTTAAGCACAATGCGGCAAAGTTGCCACGACGAGTTGAGGCGAGTCAGCGGAGTCAGAGCCGGGCAATTGGCCAAGTTATCATAGAAATGAGTTATTTGTTAGATCCATCATCGTGAATGCATAAAGGAGGAAAACACAGAAGATTCAGCAATGGAACGGCGACTGACCGCGTCCACATAATCAAAAAGCAAATTGCATGGCACGAAAAAATAAACATAAATTTCAACTGCTATAACAGACTATAAAGCAGCTAAAAAACTCAAAAAAAAGGAATGCAAGCCACCCGAACAAATACCGTGGAGGTCCAGCTGAGAAGCGTTTGGGCGGAAAACAGAAACTTGTTAACAAAATTGCTCCGAGTTCATTGACAGTTGATTGCGATGCAAGTGCAAGTTTCGCTCCTCAGACTGCACTGTTCAAATTAACTGGCAGTTTGCAAAGACTAAGTGAAAAATCAAATAAACTCAATATTTACTTGTCTGCTTGCCGGCATTCCTTTTGCATAACTTTGGTGACGAAAAACCTTTTAGTCAAACATACTTGTTTTCCTAGACTTTACTTTATTTGCAAAGTTCTGCGGAGCATTCTCATTTCTCAATCAGCATTAAAAACATTAGAGCGGCATTTTAAGACAATGAATTGCACAAAGTTTTCGCGTTGTGTGCGAATGTTGTTGCCGATCATATGGCTGGAAGCCACACAGCATTTTCGTCCTGCCTTCCAGTTTGCCCCCAAAAAAAAGTGTAGTCTACTTAACAGGGCACCGGTAGCGGCAGCCAAACGAAATTCATTATCAAAAATGGCTTGAGGCAGCTGGCCGGCCAAAGATGGGAAAGATGGCTGCTGCTCACCTCCAAGTTGCCCACCTCGGCTAATGAATGTCTAAGGGGTGTGGGGGTGGGGGGTGGCGGCAATGACGCGGGTCGCCACTAAAATGTCAACTGGCGCATGCCTTTTGGCCAAGTAATTATGTTTGATGACCCTGGCGGTCGCTTGCTGGCTCTATCTCCCTCTTTCCATCGCTATCCATCGCCGCCTCTCGCTCACTCCGCCGAAAAGAAAGCCAATGGGGCGATGGAGCATGGCAAAAATCAGCAGGAGCAGCGGCAAGATTATAATGCAAATGTTTAATGGCTGGGCCATCTATTTTGGCAAAAGTAATAGGACCAACTTTGCAATCAGTTCATAGTTTGGATGGCTTAATTTGTTGGCTTATCGTGAATAGAGGTAATGCTGCATTTTATTGTTTGTTTAATTTGCCATATTATTACAACCATCTATCTTGATATGCAACGATTTCGGAGCTAAGATGTCTCACAACGAGCTGTGTTCAAAACTACTTTAAGTGGAATAAACAATATGCCGCTAAAAGAAGCAGTTTACACGGTATTGTGCTAATTAGAACGTTTTTGAAAATATAAACATTAGGTTTTACAATCGAGGAAATGCTGATTAAACTCATTCAAAAATCGGTTAAATTAATGTAAACTAAATTGTAGAATCATTAAGGAAAAGAAAATATTAAAACTGCATATGTTTTTTGGATTTGCACCTCACGTATTTAATTTCAGTTCCTAAATCTGTTTAGAGACATCTATCATCTGGCAGCTGAAATGAAATTCGCAAGGAATTTATGGCAAAGACTAATGTATTATACATAAGTACAGAAACATACTTATAATGTGTAATATAAGTCAAGTAATAAAATGCGAAATTTATTATTTGCCGAAATCCATTTTGCGAAGGACACCATTTTCGAAGCTAAGTTCGAAAAGTAATAGAAGTTTCGCTGTAGAATATTTTTCTCGAATCTTACATTTTACCTACTCGAATCATACATGTACCTTACATTCTATTGACACAGACACTCAAAAGATACAAGCACGCTTCCTACGGTAAAATTCCAAGTCTATCAGCATAAATAAATGCTTAGGTCCGAATCTGAATCTGATTCGAACTCGAAGGATATTCATACTTATAATATAAGATTGTGTCAAAATTGAGGTAAAATAATATTTCATTGCTACACAACCTGTTTTTCAACTGAGTAAAATGTAAAATATTCGAAAAGAATACATTCTCCTCAAAAGAACTCATTATATTAAATAAATAGATATGAATCATAAACACACTTTTTTTTATAAACAATACCCATAAAACAAATTGACTGCAACAATTATTTTCATTGACTATTTATGTATTTTCATACCATTTATTTAACTTTCAAATGAATGATCAATACTTCACAATATTTGAATTTCCAATAGCGACCTTTCAACCGACATTTTGTAGATAAATAAACATAATATCTCAGATAATATGTGGCTTCTATATATAACAATATTTTTGCATGTCAATTTTACTAAACGTCAAACGAAACGATATGCATTTTTTATATAATTTGTTAATTTGATAATTGTATGTATATATTTGTTTGGAGCCTCAAGCCTCAACCATTTTCAAATTTCAGGGTGTATTTTGGAGCCTTAATACGAATAATAATATCAAAGAAATATTTCCATTCGGGTAATGACCATTTTGACCCAATTATTTTTAATGCGGACCCCAAAAACTGCATCCTGAAACTTTAAAAGTAATCGAGGTGGAGGACATTTCAAAAGTATATTATGATTTACTATATATGTATATATACTGCATTTTTCTTCCATACCAATTTATGTAATATTGAGACAAAATTAGATCCTTTCAAGCTGGTATTTGCTTTCTAGTAGTCCTTATGTTACATTAGTGCCCTTGTAAATTTATAGAAAAGTTCTGGTTTTCTAGAAAAGAACTAGTTACATATCCCAATAAAGCCATGTGACATTTTGCAAGGCAAATCAAATTATAAATCATTCAGCGACCTGCTTTTATATTTACAAAACCTTGGCAAAGGCTTCAGGGAAGTCGATCTGTTGATATATGTAAATACTGATGAGTGCGTTTCACTGACTCCTAATTTGTGTGTCTTTAGGAACAATGAATGGTTTTTCTTTTCTAGTTGAGACTATCTAGGGTTTGCACAATCAGCCTATAAACATTTGATAACATTCGGTGCATTTGGTTACGTGATTTTGTATTCCTTTAAAATGTATTGGGATGTGTCAACAATAATACCGAAAAAATAAAACAAATACATTTCAGAAGCACACAAATCGAATGTATTTCTCTTCTCTGCCGAATTTGGCTCCGTCTTTTATAATATATGTAATATGTTTCTAAATAACTTTATTTATTTCAATATTTCTATATCGTCTTAGTTGCATTGCGTTAGCTGCTTGATTTTTAAGTTTAAATAACTTGAAGTTTTTTACGTTTCCGTCTTGTTTATTTTTAAATTATATTTATAATTTAAGTATAATACATTTTGTACAGATTTAAAAATTAAATTAAATAAAAGATTTGATATAAAAACGGTGTACCGCACACTGACACTGATAAAATAATAATTTTCTCTACGACCTTAGAGCATCCTACATATCAACATACATATATCTGTATTTAATCATTATTCTTAGTGGGATCAATCAACAAGTAGTGGAAGGGCATTACCAAAGTATAATACAGAGTTTGCATTTAAGCTTAAAGGGTGCCATTTGTTTTTGTTTTGTTGTTCGCTTCATGGTGGACATTCGTGGGTAACTTGGTAGCTTGGTCAATTGTTGGGTGACTAAGGGATCTACACCTGTATCAGTTTCGTCAATTAAAGCGGTCTCTTGGTATGGGAAGAATGATCGAAGTATTACTCAAGTCTTTTAAAACTACACGTCGTAGAGCTTTAGCTGCTAGTTTCATATTCGGGACCGCTTATAAGACTGATATTCGGCATAGGATCTCTTACGATGTAATGATTTAATTTACTCGAAGCAATTTAAGTTTTGGCCTAGTGCTAAGCGCCATTGATGGATTTATTTACTGTACTTGATGCGTTTTGCGTGTGAGTAACTGTATTTTATGTTTTCTATATGCATAATTCAACATTAGTTATGTTTGCGTTAAGTATCTCTGATAACCTCCATCCGATCCAGCCATCCATCTATTCATCCATCCATCTTTGTTCGACTTTCCTGCCCCTGAACTTTAAACTAAGTTACGTTTTTTTCAAGCGAACCACACTTTGTCCCCCTGGTGACCCCGGATTCGCTGCCTAGAGCTGCACCTGGAATGACTGCGCCGGCGCCTTGGGCGGTGAGATAAACGGATTGGTGCTGTGCCTGGCCAGAGGCGAGCGCGCAGTGCTCGGGATCGTAAAATCAGGCGACAGTTGCTTGGCCGCTGCCACATTGGCCACCCACTCGGCGTCGAATGGATCGTCTGGGCCACCGCCACCGCCACCGCCACCAACTGCAGCACCAGTGCCACTGGCCAGTGTCTGAGCTCGGCCAACATTGGCCAGATAAGTGGGCCGCTTCGGGGCAGCCGGAGACGTGCTGCGCACCACATGACCCAGCCACTGCTCGGCATTGGGCAGTTCCGTCGAGGCTTCGATGCTCTGCTCCGATCGCGTGGGCGACTGCGAATGGAGCGTTTGATATGTGGGCGTGGTGCTGGCCACTCGTGGCGTCACCTGTGCCGTTGGCGGGGCATATGAGGTTACATGCTGCACCTGCTTCTCGGCGGCAATGATGTTCTGATTAATGCTGCGATTGTTGTTGAAGTTTAGATCCTCGCCGGCGGCCAATAGGGCGTCGGTCTGGGTCAAGAGTGAGAGACCTTGGCTGAGCTCCTGACACAGTTGGCTCACTGAATCGGCGGCCACAGCGGCAGCTGTCGACGGATCCGCTCCAGCAGATTTGGCCGGCGAGACCTCGGCAATGGGCGAAACACTTCGCATAGGCGTCTGTAGTGGATTGCCAGCGGCGGCGGCCAGGAAAGCCCGCTGACGATCGGCGTTGGACGGAAGATCGTTGATGCGCAGTGACATCTGGCGCTTGAACGGCGACTGGCTGCCAATCGTGCTCAAACGGAACGAGCTCTGGCGCTCCAGCATGTTGGGCGTGGCATGGGGCCGTTCGATGGCGAAGGGATTGAAAGGCTTGACGGTGGCTGCCGGAGGACCCGGCATTGCTGAACCCGGCCCATCTACGCTCCGCTCATTTGTGCCCACTGTGGCCATCGCCAGCCGCTCCGTCAGCGTCTGCTGGCGGAACGATCCGGTCCGCGTGAAGGTCGAGTTCTTCGTGTCGAAGGTCATCGTCACGCCGCACTCCTTGTCGCGTCGCTGCTTTCGCTCCAGACAAACGGCAAAGGCACAGCCCACGGCATGGGACAATCGCTCGCCGGAGTCCTTGCAGGCCAGGAAGCCGTGGCACATCCAGCGTCGTGTGGTTCCATCCCGGCATATGTAGCTGAAGCCGCGTTCGTGATTGCGGTCCGGTGCACAGAAGCTGACCTTTTCGATGGTCTGGTCCACTATCAGGCCCTTGGTCTCGTCATCCACCACTCGCAGGCCGTCTCCGCTCACATGAAGCAATCCGCGGACAGGACGACGACGGGATTGCTAAATATTAAAAAAAAACAAGCGATTAGTATTTGATCAAGGATCACGAAGGACTCGAGAACATGGAAGACAAATATCTATGGTCTATATAGTCAATTCTTATCTCCTGTATCTTCGTGTCCATCCATAGCATATGATTTTGAGCACTTACCCTCAAGACCTTGAGTGCCTCCTCGCAGACCTGCATGCCACGCGATTCGAAGACCTCCACACATCCCAGATACTTGACCGAGAAGGAGCAGGTGGCCGATCGCACGGCCTCCTCGTCCGCCTGCCACTGGTGCGGCTTCGAGGACTCGGGAACGCGATCCTTGCGACGCCTGAAGGAGTCGCGAAAGGAGCGACGCAGACGATCCATTTTCTTCGGCGATTTCTTGCTAAACCGGAAGGAAGCGGATTTCTATGGGATAAGGACACATTATCAGTCATTAGTTATGTAACAAAATTAAAAGAGAGAGAGAGAGAGATCGAAACAAGTGCGGTATGTTGCAGTTCAACCCCTTTGAGGAACTGGGGATCGTATCTAAATGGAGTTCAAAAACCTACCCCATTTTTAACATCACCGAATTTTCCGCGTGTGAAGCCGCGCTCGAGTGGTTCGTGCGTGTGTGACGAGGAGTTTCCCATGCCTGCTCGCTAGCCCTCTCGCTCGCACTCGCTGGATTCGCTGCACTCGTTCGGGGCGTGAGTAAATTGTCGTGAATAACCGTTACAAGCTGCCAACGGACAGCGTTGCCAGATGTGAGTGGAAATCGTGTATTGTATTTCGGTTTATTGATCCGTTTATTGGCTCGTTGGACTGCGCAAATTTATTTGTTCATTGAATTTGAGTAACTGCTTTTGATTAAATTAAATTGATGGGCGCGCGTTCTGGAAAATGTGTAGAGAGTGTTGGTGTTATAGTTTCTTGTGATGGCCTGGTGTACGCAGCGCTATCAGTGCTGACGTCTCCAATATGCATGATTCACATCCCCACCTTATCGCAATCGACACATGAAAGCACTTTGGTTTATCGGCTTTTCGGGTTATTTGATTGAACAACGCCCCCTCGATATTGTCATTGAGTCGAGATCAAGAGTGCCCTCGAATGGTACATAATTTTCATTTCTCCGCCCGCCCAACAACTGCGATCCATTAAGAGCTTTTTGCGACCACGTACAGATAATACCAGCCAACCTTCACGACTTGGCCCAAACTAGAACTGAAGTCGGGAGGAGCAATTAATGCCAACGGCCTCCAATCGCTTATCGCTTATCGTGTGGGCGTCAGTGGGCGGTGGGCATGGCCAGTCGGGTGTCTCACGTAATTGTTTACACACATATTAAATTTTTCATAATTCTTGTTTTTTTTTTGCTGACTTTTAGAATTTATTTGCTTTGACTTTGCCCGAGGCTTTTGTTTTCCCAGCGCTGCGGTGACACTGGCTGACATTTTTGTGACTTTATCACATGCCTCGTATTGCGGTAAACTGTTGATAAACTAAGCGTCTGCAATTTTCGCAAAATCATAACAAAACCGTGTATATTTAGCTTTGCTTTTCATAAAAATAGTGCGTCCCGACTTGTGTTCCTTCGACTTTCAGAAAAAGTATCAAAAATGAAGATTTTATTGATGATTGTTTAGCATTCTATTCTATTTTTAATAAACGTTTTGAAGTGGTTGCTTGATAAACCCACCCAAATAACGTTACCCAACGCATATTTGTTAACTCATCTAATTATTATCTAATATTTGTGTGAACTAAATAGGGGTAATCTGTATGCTGTCTGTTGCAAATATTTAGATCTCTGAGAACCCAAAGGCCAGAGTTGTCATAATAAAGAAAAAGGTTTCAAGCTCAGTTCCTGCCCGCCACGGCATTTTCCCAATGGCTTTCCACGTTTCAGCCAGACAACTCACGTTCATCGACCATTAGCTTGGCCATGTTAATTGACCAGCTTGCACAGTGTCAGGCTACTCAGGCTAATTGGGCTTATTTGTCCAACTTATTTGTGATTCGGCGATTGTCGAGTGATAAAATGTGAGCACAACATTTAAAGTTCAATTCGGAATTCCGTTGCAACTTGACTTTCTTCTTGGCCAGTTAAGCCCCGTTAACTGTAAATGTTACGAAACCAGTTTGAACAGAACATTTGATTTACTGCCGAAGGCCAGAAGTTCGGTTCTTGGTTACTTGGTGACCAAGCCACCATGATCCCACAATTTGTAGCTTTGCTTGGGCTCTGGTTTGTGATATGGCTTTTGGTTTTCCGGCTTCATTAGAAGACTTTTGAAGAAGGGCGTTGACTTTTTAGCTGGGATGCTGTTTGACTGCATTTTTCCCCATCGACGCTAATCGAATTGTGAACACCAAAAGCATCTAAACATTTTTTAAAGTGGGTCAGAGGCTTTTAAGAAAATATAATGGTGTGGTGGGTAGAAGAGTGATTTACAAATGCTCTTGGCATTTGGCTTAAAAGTACTCACAAAAAGGGAGCCAATAAATATAAGACTGAATAAATTCAGTGGCCAGAAGGCGACATTATGGCGGCTGAACTGAAGGACATTCCGTTGAATATGTTTTCATAAAATTTCCAGGGGCACGGGCTCAAATTGGCAATGTTAAATTATCTCAGAATGGAGAGTACAAGAATTTTCGTCATTTTTCTTACACTAACCAGTTTAAAAGCCCATAAACCGAAGGTTTAGTATCTATGATTCATGAAATGCGTAAGCCAGCGTATAGCAAGATGGGCAGAAAATCACAAAAATAAATCCAAATCACGCACTAAAAGTAAACATGATTTCAGAAATGACAACAATCGACTGGCTATAGCATTTTGAAGAACGCTTTGGAGACCGGGGTGTGGGCACCATCCGGAAAGGGTTCATTCAACCAATAATCGAGGCACGAAACAGGTTCCAGCCGTAAAATCTGTGTACGTGTTTGCCAGAGAATCAGATCCGACTGCAGTTTGCTTTGATAAAAATGAAAAAATAATATAAAAATATGGGGAGCGAGAGGATTTTGTTCGTTATCAATGTTTGCCCGATACGAACATATTTATTTTCTCTTTGTGATATGGTAATTAATACGGGGAACTAGACGGAATATTTACCATGACTACAGTAAACAGTGATCATTCGCGGTGAGGAAAGTAATTTCGGACGAGTGGAGTTAATGAATGTATCATCCTCCTCCTCTGAAACTTAACCGACTTGGGGAATAATTATCCCCACCACAAGTTAATTAGTGTCTGCCACTTCGTTGACCTTTGACCATTCTTCAGGGCTGTGCCTACGACACCCAGCCTAATTAATTCATTAAACTCTTTCTTTCATGAAACCCATGCCCCGTGGACCACAGATGGCATTGTAAATCATTCGCCACATGGCTGGCTGTCCATTTACTTGGTGACGGAATGCCGCGCTAGAACATGCCAATTTTTTCCAGTTTGATTTTAATTTAGCATTAAACAATTAACCCTGGCATGACAAAACAAGCGCAGTCAATGACACTTTCCTATACTCGTATATCGGTGAATATACAGCTGTGTGCTCGGGCCCATATAGTAATTTGTATTGCATAACCACAATCAAGCCTCGATCTAGAGTGGGAGCCCGGTAAATGAAATTCAATTTTACTCTGCCCTCAAAAGGGCATCGACACTTGTTGCATTCTGCTCCCAGTGCCAATGACTTTTCCAACAGTCTAGCCTTCTGGAGAATGTATGTACGTATGTGTGACACCTCGGAAATCCAATTGCAAAAGTTTCGTCCTTTCAGGCAGCTGGACAAGCCATTTCCCATCGACAGTGCCATCTATCTGTGCTCAAATGTAGGCTTTACTTGCATTCATCACAGTTATGGATTGTCCTTTCAGGATATGGCTGATGGCACTCGGATGTTTGATGGCAGCCAACTTTATGCAGAGAGTATAAATCGAATGCAGGGCCTTAAAATAATTGGAATTCTCACTTCTATACAAAGTGAAAAAATCAGCTGTTATTGCGAATAGGATTAACTCTTGATTGCGTGCTACAGTTTTTATTGGAATCATAACTGTAATGCCCAAGCTATCAACTTTTTCCCACTAATTATCCCCACTTTTAGGTATTCATTCAGTGGTTTCCCTTAGTTGAGAACGTCAGTGTTAAAACTAACATTGTAAAATGCATTTCGAAAATTTCACACGCCGCAGTGATGGTCAGAAAAGGCTACACACGTTAAATGGCTTCCTTTCTTTTTTTTTTTTTGCTAGTACTTGATATAAAATTATAATTATTCCCGCCATACGCTCCTGTCTGTCTGCAGTCCTTCTTTATTTTTTTTTTTTTGGCTTGGCTAGGGGTCTTATCAACCACCATCGAGTTCCTCTGCCCCCTGGTCCGCCCTTCGCATCCTCGTCCTTCGAGGGTTGCCCTCAACTGCTGGAATTTTTAATTTTCAATGCTCTTCCTTGTGTCGGTGGTCGTGGGAACTCTTCGTTTTTTTTCGAGTAATAAATTTGAAATATATCAGCCAACGTTTTGCATGAATATTTTGTTGTACGAGTATGTGTGCGCTTGTGAATTTTACATTTTTTATAGGTAGCGGGAGCTCAACGATAATGACTTCAATTAGCCACCACAATAAGGTGCAATGAGGCATGACTCCAAGGATTTTGTGAGCGGAAGTAAGGTATCACTTTTGTCCTGGGAGATTTGTGAAGGATTTTTGGAATATTTATTTAGTTATTTAGTAATCTATAGTAATACTACTGCATACTGTCTAATTACTTCTTAAATACTTAAAAAGTCGGAATCTATCTTTATTTTCCTAGTTTGAACCGAACACCGATCCTTGGCCAGCAATAAAATATGTCGCATCAAGTTAATTCCAATGAGCTTTTCTAAATAGTATCTGAGGCCCCCAGCAAGTAGCATCTGGCCAAACCAAAACTTCAGCGGATAATAAATCTTTAGGGAAAACAGCTAGCATTGCTTTTTGCCCGGTTTGTTTGGTTACTTTAAAGGAAGTGCGCAAAGAATTCGCAGCCAAAAAGCCAAAAAAGGTTTAACGCAAATAATGAGACAGCAACAAAAGAGCGCACAGCATCTGGCGAAATCTTGCGGAATCTTAAGGGAAGTATGCGATTTTTTTCCGGTGACGCAATTTAACTGTTCAAACGCAGCTACGTCTTCTTGTACTTAAGTCCAAAACAATGACAATGGGTATGGAAGCCAAGAAAGGGTAAAAAAATAATTGCTAGGATAAAAGAGTTTCCTGAACTCCGTGGGATTGCGCATGTACGATGGCTTCTTCGATCTCGAGAATCCTGAATCGCTTGGGTTACTTCACTTACGCACGGATGCAAAGGTATTTCACACGCTGACCCAAATGCACCCTTAAAGGGCCAAATAGCAGGGGATTGGGGGGAGGGAATGCCTATGCACCCATGTCCTGTGCAGGCAGGGTCCTAATTGCACAGGGGCGTCGGGCGCAGGGGTTCGTGTCATTGAGGGAAATATTCTGGGGTATGCTGCGTACTGTTCAAAGTGCGCATAATTATTAGCTGTCAATTGGGCGTTGATCTGACCATTATGTGTCTGCCATACCTGGTTCTATATGGGAATTATCACAAACTTGGCGGGGGGTGTGGGAAAAGGTAAGTGTGAGAAAGAAAAAAAACGCTGATTAGGGATGCTGGCAAGATGCAAAAGTTAGGAAAAATGCGTATGCCAATATTTCAAAGACAACGAGAAATTGGAATATCGATTGTATAGTATATGTAGTATGCATACAGCCCTAACTGTTCCACCACATCCTTTAACAAAACAAACTCCAATACGAGTATTTCCAGCTCAAAACACTTGAGAGAAACCTCAAAAAACCCGACGAACGGAAGTGGAAATGCAGGCACAAAAAATAAAAACAATAGGCACGCCTGCGAGCTATACACATGTGATGTATAGTATGTGGAGTGTAGGTAGCTATACCATCATCCATATACCATGCATATACCATACATATGCCTTATAAGAAGTGCTCTGTCCTGGCGAACACGAGACATGCAAGCGGGTCACGATTCGAAAAACGTCGAAATAGTTTGCATCTGTCGTTTGAAACGAAGGCAGCCGCTGCCAGCAGTTGTTGTTTCTGCATCCTGTCTCTTTCGTTCGCTTTACGAGGATCCTGCCATATGCTCAGTGCACGTGGCGAAGGATTCCCGAAGGATACTCTGGTTAAGTGGGGAATCGGGCTCACACATGCCGCCGTCTGCTCTCAAGTCACTAGACTTCGATTTGCCACGATTTCCGAATTTTCGAGTTTCCGAATTTCGGAATTGCCAGGTAGACGGACTCTTTTGGTTCGTGTCTCAACAGGACGAGCGCAGATCCTTGTTATCCTTTGTTTGCTCGCCAGCAGGCAGATGCCAGGGTAATTACATTCGACTTCGGCCACTTTGGTTACCGAATGATTATTTCTGGGAACTACGCTTACAAGCTTTCGTTACACTCATTATGCAAATAAATATTTCGATGACTCAACTGGCTGTGGCATATTTAAAAGAAGTTAACCGAATTTTCGGAGAACCTGTTTCTGAGCCGTGTAGCACGTCAAAGCCATAAAAATATGCAATTCAATGAGCACAAGACTGAGGTGAAAAAAACAGAGAAATTTTCAACAACCAATTTTTCATCCAAAGCACACTTATCATTACGCATTCATAACTCATAAAGCGAGGGAAAACCGGAGAAGAAAATCACTGGGGAATTCTAGCAACTAATTTAATATGCACAAGAATGTGTAATGCGTTGAAAACCAATTCCTAAGACACCTTCCACTCTGAAGTTTATTTGAATTTATTCAATCCTTATACTGAATTTGTAATGAACCAGGAAACTTGATAGAAATGCTTAGCAGTGGCAGAAAAATATTTGTTTACAAAACAAGATTTTTACAGGCACTAGTTTCCTAAGCATGTATACAAATGTTAATCTCAGAAAACCTCGTGTAATCAAAGTATACAAGATGTAATATTTTTCTTTCCCAGACAGAAGCAGACGAAAAAAGTGAAGAGCTCTTTTATCTGACAGTTTTAAAATGGGAAAGGGATTTTTCAAAATGTGACTGCGATAAGCGAAAAAGCAGGAGAATTTGTTTGCTTACAAGTTTTGTGGAAAGTTACGTGACATCACCAGCAACTATGTTTAGATAACTGCCAAGTTTAGCCGATTATCCAACCGATTTATCGCGGTAAAGGTCGTCGCGGAGGCAACGTGGTCCAAAATTTGAGGAAGTGGAAAGTCAACCAAGCCTGACCATTTTCCAAACGGTTGTCTCCCGCTATTTTCCACTGGCATTCTCTGCTCTGATTGTCATAGTTGGAGGCAAATCTATTTTGTGGCGCACAACAGTGTAACCACGTTAGTTTTCTCTGTGCCAGTTGTCAACGATTTTCTGTCATCAATCCAAACAGCTGTTGGCCAATTGCTTAAGCAATTTCCGGGTGCCAGCGCCCAAAAGTTGGCAGTGCAAACACCCAGTGGAAATAATCGATAGGAAACTAAACAAACAACCCATATACTTGCCAAAAGAAGCCATCCTAGTGTTTTGTGGGGGCGCAGTAACACTGGGGCAAATATTCCCCTATTTGCCTAATAAGCCAGGTGAACAGGTGTGCCAATAGGGGCATCAAAGAATTTGGCGAAAGTAAACAAACGTTCTATTTCGATAGAAGTTTATATGAGAGCTAGAGTAATTACATTTAGGTGTGCAAAGAATGAGTTGTAAGAATGCAAAATAGCATTACCAATTGTTTGCAATCAAAACACTAGAGTGGGACAATCTGAAAATAAGTATATGTAATTATATTCCCAAAAACATGAGTAGGCTTTTCATAAACTACAGCTACTGAAAGCTTAACTGCATGTTGCTTACTAATTTATTCCGCTAATGAAGCTGACAAGCAGTTTTGTTTATAAGTACAATTAGCTGAGAACAGTAATAGAAAAGGGAACAACTATATATTTATAGAGCATCTGGCTAACTATAAGATTAATCCTTTATCACATCCCAACCAACTGACAGACCGGAAATTGAACAGGCTCATTAAAGGCCATAAAGAAGGAGCCAGGAGCAGAAATCATATCGCAATCAAATCCAGGCTTGCCCTTTGACATTCCCAAGCCTCTGCGGTTTAGGCCAACTTAGCCAAGCCAAGGCCACGTTATTACCAAGTTGGCGTGTCGACTCAGTCGCGCCTTCGAGAGGCGAGAAAACTTTTGGTCTTAATGCGAAATGTTTGCTGTTCAGGCTTACGGCCAGAAAATGTCAAGAATAAACACAAAGTCACAACTCTCTAATACCCTTTAAAGTTCATTATTGTAATTTGTTGCGATGGCAAATAGTTTTTATAAAAGAAAAAAAAAAGTAGTGGGGATAGCTAGAGGGTCTTCCCAGGCGATAATAGCGATATTTTCTATTAAAATCTGCCTGGTAATCACCGCAGCATTTAAGTATCAACTTAATGACAAAACGTTTACATGCATAATTATCCAATTTTTTGCATTTTTAATTTCCTGCCTTAGATGCAGAATGCCAGTGGCCCCATACCCCATACCCCATACTTTGTCCCGACTCCAGAGCCCAGTTAATGGCCCAGAAGTTGAAGTTCTGGCTGGCAGCCATGACTTGGAGTTGGACTTGGTCTTGGACTTGTTCCCGTGTTCTTGACTTGTCCAACGTCTCTCTTTGTTGGCCATTGGCTGGATGGCTGACTGGCTGACTGGCTAGCTGGCTAGCTGGCTGGTTGGATGGCTGGCTGCTGCCGTTGTTAATCATCGGAGTTGCAGCATAAAAATAGAAAGGAAATTCCATGAAATTAAAGTTTTATGCAGCCGCAGCCGAGCAGCGATCAAGTTGAAGTTGAAGTTGAGGTCTAAACTCCTCGACTGAGTGTTGAACTTGCAGTGCGGTGGGATGGAGCTTGGATGGGGCTCGGCACTGAGAGCTGGGTCTTAGCCAAACGTTTAGCGAAAGCCGCGTCTCGAAGAATGCAGTCGGCTTGGCATAATCGAAAGGCATGTGAGAAAAGTTGGAGTCGACTGGCTGGCAGCCAGCCACCAAACCGGTTCCATTGGACTCGGCTTCGCCAGCCCAGAGTTGGCTTAACTCAAGTCCAACTGCACCCAGGTAGCATTATGTTCTTACTTTTTTCCTGCGCTTGTTACCAGTTTTTTTTTCGTTCGTGTTTCTGGCTTTTCTTGGAATGTTTCTGAATGGTTTTTGCTGGAGCTTTTGCCTGAAGTTTTTATGAACTGCTGAGATTTATAATCTGGCCAGGCTGAGAGGCATGGCTACCAAAAAGAAAATGCAGCATAAATCAGGGAGCCCTTTGGTGGAACCTCAAGATCTTGAAGAACATTCCGAGTAAATCAACTTGAACAGCATAATTATGCAAAGCAAAAGTATCCCATAGTTTGCGGCTGCAAATAAAATACTCACTGCCGGCGAAAGCAGGGGCCAAGTTGGCATTTAATTACATTGTAATTATAATATATTTTCACCCACTCTCAGTTGGTTCCGTTCTCAGCCGCCCCAAACCAATTCATTACTCATTTCAATGGGAAATTTTCCCCATTTTCCAGTTGCCTTTGCCACTTTTCCTCTTTTTTTGTCGTTTTGTTTGTTATCGTAGTAATTTATGCAGTTGACAGTCAAATAATTTGGCACACAGTATACATTAAAATAAATTAACTTTACAAAAGAGCTGGGAAAACGTTTGTGGTAAGAATATGTGCATGCTTCTGCAGAAAGTCATTAGATTTTAAATGGAAGTGTGGGACAATATTTGAAATATTCAAAATAGACTCCATATACGATCGACTCGAAATGTTTTAGTCATGCCAAATGATTCATCTTCACAAACGTGAGAGACTGGAGACCAGTTGAATCCAGTCAATCGTAACTTTTAGATATCTGTACGTACAAACAGTTCATGTGATGTAGCCAAAAGCAGCTAATTGCTAATTGTGTTTATATATATTTCCTTTGTTAACCCTCTCTGAATTACTATGTTCAAGTGCAAAACGGCCAAGATTTATTGAGTTTTTAGCTGGATAATTCATTCCAAATTACTGGTATCGCTATAACCTTAATGGAAATAAATGCTACCCCTGGCTTATAAATATAAAAGTGCAGGATAGTGTTTCATAGTTTGAACAGCTGTTTTAAGTTTTCTATACCAATGCATATTGAAGACGTCGAAAACTGGAATTATTACAAAAATGCATATTATGGTTGTACAAATGTCAAAGCAGCAACAACAACCGTAGAGCTGTGAAAGAATTACATACTTATATGCAAATCTGTTTTGCACAACAAAAAACTCGTTTTGACTTGGCTTTAATCCGAAGCTCAAGTCAAGCTCAACTTTGGCTGTTGTTACTGGTTTTTGGGTTTAAACATTTACCATTTATATATCGGTTTGGGGATCGGTTTGTATTTGAGTTGCTGTTTTGGTACATATGTATATCCGAAAGCCGAGTTTTGTTGTCAGTCTGTGTTTTTGTTTTGGTCACATTCGTATGTATAATTAATTAATAAATCCGGTTCGGGCCTTATATAATTTTCTTGCTCATTCAGTGGATTTTTGGCAACGTTTCGGTTTTAACCATTTATTAATACCAAGAACACCTCGCACAGCACACAGCACACGGAATGTGGGGAAAATCGCGAGAAACCGAGAAAACGACAACGCAACACCGATGGAAACGATCCCCGAATTGAGACCCCGGTAAATGGATGGCTGGGATCGGTTTGGCCCAAAGGACTACTTAAGTGTTAACTTTACTATGACCCCCCCGGAAATTGCAAAGGGTTTCACTATCCCAACGCGGACATTTGGACAACCGACGGCGGCAGTGGGCCAAAAGCGAATGGAAGCGGAGGGAAAACGGAACGCGTTTGTCCGGCAAGCGGTAAGCGGTTAGCTCGGTGCGGCGGCTCAAATTGCTCTACTGTACTGGCTGACTGACTGACCGTTTCAACGCCGTTTGGGTTTGAGTCGAGAGGAAAGAGCAAAGAGCAAAGAGCGGAAGAGAGCGACAGCTGTTACAGGGTGTTTCTGCCTGTGTGTGTGCGTGTGCACTGTGAATAATCTTTAAAAATGTACTGATTTAAAAAGAAATACACCTAAGGGAAAGAGTGATCATAGTGATTGTTCAGGGATTTTGAACCGCCGTTATCTTAGGGGATTGCCCTATATAACATATTACCCTCTCATCAACTAATCTAGCATTATTATAAATTTTTTTAAATGAAATTTTTATCTGAAAACAAACGTTAAGTATCATGAGTTAATAATCCGATTTATATAAATTACATCCACTTAAAAGTGTGCACTTCATGTGGATTTTCTCAGTGCATTGTGTTCCATTGGGTTTATTTACTACCAACGACGACGTCGTTTTGCTTCTTCTATCTCACCTCCGCTGTGCTGTGTTTGTATTTGTTGTGATAATGATAAAACTGCGACGCGTTTCAGCAGCTTGTAGGTTTTCTAGAGTGGGAGTGAGAGAGCTCGAGTTGGCGAGCGAGAGGGAGAGAGATTTAGTTATCTAGGCTAGGTACAATCTCAGATGCGCTGCATTTGAAGATCGCGATTTGCTGACCGTGGCTTAAAAGATTTGCGGTCGGGGCAAGTTGGAAAAATTCTAGGAAAACACGAGCTCAATTTTATTATTTAACTCTGGGAATTTCCCAAACGAGCGAGTGGTAAGAGTATTACAATGCCGGCTATTTCGAAAAGGGGACCTTCAATTGTTTTGTAATATCTCTGTTTTTCAGATTTATCCTTAATCTATATGCGTTTCATTTAAAGTCTGGAATTTGCCTCTAGTCATATTCCTTGAAGGCTCAAATTCCTGGAAAATTGGTAACATAAATAATGAGTTTTGCAAAGGTGTAAAAAAATACCAAGTGGTTAGAATATTATCTTTATAAAGTTGGATACTAAGCATTACTATTTCTTATATTTCCAATTCAAACATATGGGTTTAAAACATATTTTTCTTTCCAAAGTCAGGTATTTTAGATACCCCATTGAAGCGATAGAAGGGCATTAAAAACCAGTTGGCTTCGTTGGTTCTGCAGCTGCCAGTTTTTTCACATGGAGTATGAAATGGAAGTGATTATGGCACTCAAGAGAGCCATCGAAGAGAGTTACCAAAGACTTAAATATTAACAAAATGCACAGGATGGCCAGGTGGTTATGAAATGCCAACGGACATACAAAACAAATGAAAATAATGCAAACTGATTAAATGGACAATAGTCAAGGCTCGGTAATCAATGTATTGAACTTATCGATTTGAATTAAGTTGCCCAGCCTAAATTCCGTGACAACAATGGCAAAATGATCGATCGAAATGGGAGAGCGGAAACCGGAGAACAAAAGAGTTTGCGATGCAAGGCCGTTCACGCTTTAAGAGAGAACTCTAGCCTAAGAGAAACATAGATAACTCCGAAAGATAGATAAATTGCCCAATGTGTGCGTGAGAGACGCCAGTAAACAGATAATAAGAGAGAGTTCTCACCCATGAAACGTGCGAAAAATTGCAATGCAGCAGCGACTTTAATCCAGGTAGCCCACAAAATCAGGTAGTAAAAAGAATGGTATCAAGACTATTGGGAACAAACCATTGCTACCTACACGTGGCAACCAATATCACCAACATTATCGCAATTTAAATGCAGAAATAACAAACTGCTGCAACTGATGTATAAAGCAGACTTACACTGAGAGAAGATATGCTATTATTTCGTATTGCAAATCATAAGTGCAGACTTATATGAATGGATTTGCTAAAAACATATAAAGGTGCTGGTAAAATAAAGGTTATGTCCATTACCTTTCGACTACATTACTTTAAAATGACAGCAAATTAGGAAATTTTTTCCGTGTGTTAAACGTGTTAAAGTCATTACAGCCATTACTCGACACTTTTAGATATACCACAATGAAAACAGCTAGCACTGAATGAGGAGACCCCCATCCCAGACAACCCTCCCACCGCCCACCGCAGACAATAGATAAGGCCAGACAATGGGGAAAGGGAAAGCGGAAGAAGAACGGGGAACGGGTAACGGGGAAATAGGGAAATGGCCATAAGCTGAGAAATCAATGTCAGTCAATGGGGTTGCAGGGGGCAGACAAAAGCCACATGTGCAACCTAATCAAAATTTCAATCAAAATGCGCAAAATGCTGCAATGAAAGGCTCACAAATGGCAACAAATACGCTCAAACATACTCTAATGGGTTGGCATGAGTAATCCAAACCAATACAGTTCAATCCAATTGAATTGAACCCAATCTGGCCTGTAATTGCGATTAAGAAGCCAATTACTCATACAAATTGCTGGGTCAATTGTTAAGGATTTCCATTTCCAGACAAGAAGATTAACAAATCAATTGTTGGGCAATAATTGAAATAATTTGGCGGAAACTCGAAGGGGGTGATGAATAATCGATTATCCCAATGTTTTGATAATCATGATTTAGTTTCAGTGATTTATATGTTGGTGTATTGACTTTATTGATTTAGTCAGATTGTGTGTTGTATATCTTTGCTTCAGGAAAATTTTTTTAAAATGTATTATAGAAAAAAAAACTTGTTTTCTTCTCTCTCTTTGTATAAAATATTAGAATATTTAGAATTACTTACATATTAAACGTTTAACGCCGCTTGCAAGTGCTGAAATGAGAGGAAAACAATATTCTTGATAAATAGATAATAAAAGGTTATCATTACAATGGGTATCAAATTTGAAATAGCCATAAATGCTGCTGTTGCCGTTACAAAATTTTAAAAATGCTTTTACTCTGGCAACGCTCGAACTCAAGTCTCTCTTAAAAGAAACTTAAGAGCCTGCTTACACACACAAGTACACACATGCACATTCACACTTGGGCACTCAGCTGACAATGTCAGCGGCGTTAACAAAAAGTTCCCACGGTCATTAGGGTCATGATGGCTCAAACATATTTAGACTCGTGTTCGCTATTTGTTTTTAATTTAAAACTGCAAGTGTGTAATACATATGTACATATACATGTGTTTGCCCAAGTTAATGTTAACGTATGTGCTTTTAGCCTAGGGCTTATGAGCGTTTCTTGAGTACGTTCTTGAGACGTCGCCGAGCTGAGCCGCAAAACTTGAGTGGCTCGAGGGCTTAAAAGCTTTGTCGGGCAGGTGGGAGAGCTTTTTGAATGCTAAGCTCGGCTTGCGGTTGAATGAACTGAAGCTTAAAGTGGCTTAAAGTTATTGCAGTGGGGACATAAAGTATACGATCACCAGATACGTCCGTAAAAATTGGTAATACTTTTTACTGTAAATTGTGTTTAAAATTACTTACACATGTGTTTATGTATAAGTTGTTCATAATTGTTTTGCCATAAAACATACATTTATGTATTTGCAAATTGAATTTAAAAATCAATAAAAATAAATAATGTCTTTAAGTGAATAAAGAAAAGCCATTACTGTCACGCTCATCATAAATTAAGCATATTATTTTAGTCTAACGACATCATTAAATCCGTTTAATTGTAACCCTACTTATTTACCTTATTGACAATTTATTTACTTTAGCGGACTTTCCAACCAATGTTATTCTAAGCCGATAAAAAGTGGTTTACTTTGGCCGATTGCATCTCGGTTCTTTATCAATTTCGTCTCCCACAGGGCCACACTGTATGGGTCCTTAATTTTCCAGGGGTTGACAGCTTTCCGAATTGTAAAAAAATTAAACTCACACATTTCACGCCCAACCAATTAGCCTAGGGTTGCTCACCGCCCTCCCAACCACCCTATTTTCAACTATATTTTCTGCCCCCAGCCCGCCCACTTTTCCCGGGCGATGCGAACTGAATTTTCAAGTGTCTCTGGGATAAGGTTGCAGATGCAATTAAAAAGCATTTAACGGATTAGAGGCAATAAAGAGAGGATTGCAATAAAAATATAGAATAAATACCAGCATTAGAGGACACGGAAACCTTGAAGGGGTGAGCACCGTGTGAACCAACACGATTTTATTGGAATTTAATTTAATAACGCCTGTGCAACCAGGGCACTGCCTTCCCAACTGGCTGTGAAAAATATTTCAGACTAAGTCCAAGTCAACGCAAGTACAAGTTTCGAGCACTTTTCTCGGATATTTCCTTGGCTGCTAATTAATTGTCCGAATAAATTATTTACCGAATCTGTTAGGGACCTCAGGTATTAGTTTATACGGTCATAAAGGCACAAAAGATTTCCATTGCAAGACCCACTTAGCTTAATGCCTTTGAGAACTATTAGGCAAGCTACCTTTCCAACTTTCGCCCATTTGGCTGAAAGTGAAATGAAGTTCAAGGGGTTATGCCAAGTTCCAATTGGCCATAACCATAAATATATCCATTGCGGCTCAGCTCTCGCTTAGCCATTACGCATCCAATTTGTTGGCGTATCATCAACTTCATGGCTTCGCCTTCAGATTTTCCCCATCCACCCATTGCAACACAAATGGCACCTTAAGTGTGTGTAATGCAATTCCATTTTACAGCATTTCTTCATCAGATACTCCTACGTTTTTGTTCTACTCTTTCTTTCCTGCAAATGGACGAAGTCATGCGCCGGCAATTTGGAACGATTCCAGTGGACTGGTGTCCAATTGTCCGCCCTGCTCCATTCGCGGCTCAGAGCTCACTGGATGTAGAAGCAGAAGCAGAAGGAGATGCAGATGCATTTGCAGATGCAGATGCAGATGCATATGGATCTCCAGATGCAGACAAAGACCGCGGACACCAATTGGAACGTGCCCGTTTAGTTTTCCTCAGCACGGTTTCAGATGCTAAAATTGCATTAATGCAATTCGTTTTTTCTGGTTTCCACTCACTCCGCTTCGTGACGTCCGTTTTCATTTGGGGAAAAGGGGCGAAAAGTGCCAGTCGAATGTCAAATTGTGTGTATTTTCAGACAGAAGACTTGAATTCTGGGGAACTCTTTAAACTGCTGCTCTGTGAGGGGGAACTTTAGGGCAAGTGTCTCGTTTGTCTGAAGCGCACAATTTGTAAATGTTGAGTTACTACTACTAAGTCTAGCAGCACTTTTCAATTGAACTTCCTCGCTTGCCATTTAATTGCTATTAAAGATAGTCGGTTTAACAGCGATTCCACCCAAACTAACACACGACAGCTGATGGTGCTAAATTTCGAGCCCCGCAAGACAATCAATAAAGAAAATGGTATCCAAGTCGGGGCTCCAGCTCAAGGCGTGGCACTTCTGTTGATTGGTGCTCTCTGTGTTCGTGGGGGCATGCCACAAGATTAATGAGCGCCATAGAAGCGCCTAAACTTGTTTTAGACCACGCCGAAATCGACACCCCCGCAAAAGCGACAGCGATAGAAAACATATAGTATAGTTGTGCAATTGCTAATCCGCCATCTAGTTGGGGACCATAAACCAAAGGCCGTCGGGCACTTAATGAGGCGCAGTCCTCGTCGTTCTGAAAGCCGTAGCTTCTATCTTGTGGATGTCTTGTGGATTTTCCTTCACGTTTTCCATCTGACTACGACCACGCCATAGACGTTTCCTTAGCCAACGCAAATATCAACATGGTACCTCCATTCGCAGTTTGCTTTTGTTGGTATTTTTGCTTTTATTATTGCGGGCTCTGTGCGGTTTTGGCTTTTCCAATTGCACTTGAGGCGCTTCTTCCTCTTCGTCGTCATCAGCACACACCTTCAAGGTGGGAAAACAATAATAATAACAAGACTAAGCATAATAAGAGCCGGATGTCCATTAAAGTTCTTCTCTGAACTCTGAAACTCTATATTTTTTCTTATTGCCTGTGGGTTGATTGGGCTCCAGTGTGTACTGTGTCCGTACATTAACTCGTAAAGTGTGTGGGTGTGGGCTTTTAAATTTGCTTCCTCTCATCGCTGAAATTGCTTTTTCTGGAATGAAGAACTCACAGAGCGAACCGGGAATTAAATTCAGCTCAAGGACTGCAGGTAACGAATAAGGTGGAATTGATTGAAATTGATTGCCTGGATAAAGTTCGGAAAAGTTCTGTACTGTGGTGCTGAAGAAATCAAAAGAAGGCACGCAGAAATAAGACTTGCTTGCTATGCTTCATCATATTTAGGTTTCTGTTTTTGGGGCAGGCACAATGTTTTTGATTTCAAATTTCTTTCATTTCACGTACGAAAATCACCTTTGGATTTAATCAAATCAACCCTACCCAACCAGATTGACATCAACCAGTCAGGACTCAGAAATTGGGTTCGCACGCCCACGATACGAGATTCCTGGAAATTCCCACGGGAACTGTGGGCAGAACACGCGCCATTCCCCGATGCTCAAGCCACCTCCGACTTCTCCACTCTCCTTTCTCCAGAGAAAAAGCTGTTCTCAGCATATACACTTGTAGCTGGCACATAAAGACAAGCGCCTGCCGCGGCGACGCTTAAGGATAATGTGCCGCACGCTCGAGGCGGCCTACAAATGTCAGGGAGTGTCCTTGTTAACTCAACAGTCCAGTGCTGATCGGGCACGGAAAAATCGGCGAGGGTGCGCCGGAAATCATGCAAAAACGTGCCGAGCACGAGCCACTGAGGAAAATGAAGGAAAACTTTCACAAGTCACTGGCAGTTCGTGCCTGCCGTTGACAGTTCCCCATCTAATTGCTGCGGCTTGCCTTCGTTTTCGGCTCGATTCGAGCCAACAACCCCATCAATCTGTCCAAGCCGCCGCCAACTGACATATTAATTGCTCATAAAGCATAAGCAGTCACCACCAAAAAAGTGTAATCCCCCTGATTGGGCGCCGGGGGTTGCTCGAGAAATTGTGCAAAACATGCAAATTTTCCAGGCTGGGAACCTTACCTTTTCAGCCGCTTGAGCTGCCTTTTGACCTAAGCCCATCTCGGCTCAAGTGTCTGTGGCATTATCCTTGCCCGCCAGACAGTTGCCTTAACGCTTCGCTGCCTCTTTGGCGGCGAAAGGATGACGGTCGAGGATGTGAGTGCTCCTGCTAAATTGCTCATTAGCTGGATCACGAACTAGAGATGTGGCGGAGTAGGGAAGAAGCTAGGTTTCAGTTTCTACGATCCGGGAAGGACGTGGGAACTATACTACCATGGGGGCCAAACCATTGAGGAAGGTCAGGTTGTAAGCTGTAGGTTTTAGATAGCCGCGAATGTTGTGAAACCTGAGAACATTCTGCTTGATATTGGACATTCAGGTTTTTATATATACATTATCAACAAAAAGCCCGCTCCTAATCTTCATCTTAATTTAATCTTATCTTGAGCATCCCCACCTACTAGCCAAGGGCTGCTCATGCACAGCATCGCCATCAGCTGCTCGTTGCAACCTTAATTGGTAAATTGTTCAGCTGATATCACAACTTAATTATCACACATTAATTGCCGGCGAACGAAACTGCACCCAGGCACTTCGTCGTCGCCGGTAGAAGTAATGGCCGAGGAGCCATCTGGGAACTGCCTACAATCGAATTAAAGTTAATTTTTCATGCTCTACTAAAAGTTATGCACACTTGGCGTTTGTCACCGATGGTAAATGCATATACATATATGTTGGGGGTGTATCCGTGGTTGATATTTTGGAGGGGGAAGGGAAAGCGGCTGTGGATGCGATTTACGGGTGGAGCACATCCACTCTTTAAGTGGGATGTCAGTCGATGCCGCGAAGCTGTCGTGCTTGGTTGCTCATTTATGACCATGATGCACTGGTAGAACGTATACGTATCTGCCAGATACTCGTACGGCACGCACACAGAATGCAATTGCGGGACGGATCGGAATGGATTGGAGTGGAGTAGAGTAGTGTGGAGTGGAGTGGAGTGGAATCGGAAGTTGTGGATTCAAGGCACCGGGTAGCAGCTTTAAGTCACCTTCTGGTCGTTTGATGCTTCAGTGAGCTGCGACTGCAGTCGCTACCCATTTCCTCCGTTCACGGGGATTGCAGTCGCTTGTGCTCCATGCAACTGGGTTACCTTCCCACTGGGGCAGGGCACTGATTTTATTTGGTTCTGTACTCTGAACATGGTTAAGGAAGGGTCACTCCGGTCATGCTTGGGGAGCAGTTAATTAATGTTAAGCTAACTTTAGGTTTCCGCTTTAAAAAGTCGATGCAACATGCATTTGAGAACTTTGGGGTCACTATCGCTATTCGCTTCAGTTCTGGGAAGTTTTATATTACAGTTGAAGGAAAGGCAATAGAAAATATATTTTTACAGAATGGATTTACATTTCTACGTGTCTTACTGATATTATTCATCTGCCGCTGGTTAACCATTACATTTGCATATCGATCCGATAGCCAATCGTATAATCCTCCACTATCCTTGGCTGACATTTGCCATTACATCAGGCTCAGGTCTTTCTACATTTCCAATGACATATGACATTTGGATAGTGGTGCAGAGATGCATCTGTAATATTTATGCACGTAATGCGCGCTGCGAATGTATCTATCTTTGTATCTCGCAGATGGCATTACATTTACGAGCATGCCGCATGACAAAGAAGCTTTTTCCAGTCTGTGTGTGCTTCGTCGTCAAAATCTTGATAAATTTCTAGACAAACATTTCTAAGCTGGAAGCAAAATCGGTGATTGTGCTTATTCACATATATTTTATTCTATGGCCATAATATATCAGAACTTGTTTGTGGAAATGGTATGTGATAGACATTTTTTAATGTAGGCTCATAATTATAATATGTTTATGTATTTTAATACTTTACAGCAGTGATCAACCATTACGCACGTTATTAGCCCTAATGTAGCATTATCGGTTCTGCTCTACTAATAATTATTCCATTAGAACGAAATATTTGCGATTTATCAAATTTAAAATCCAATTTTATATTCCATACATTTTGCTCATATCATTTCTTTAGAGCCTACCGAAACAGCATGATGTATGCAAAGCCAACGTTATTAATTTGGTTTCTGGTGCTTATGTTTCTAATAAAAGAGGTCAGTTAACATAATACATAAGATAATAAAAGGAAATCTGTAACAAAAAACATATGATAGGTAAGGCCTCGAGTGGAGTTTACTAACTTGAAGTGTACGTCTGTGGACGAAGATTTTGCCGAATTTAGCCAATGCACTCTGAAGTCGATAAACCGTACGTATAAATACGTTTCGGTAAGGGTTAAGCTGTATAAACTGCCAATTACCAAAGCACGGGTAAATATACATATTTATAAAACCTTATCCGACTAGTGAACAATAGTATTACTTGTTAGGTCAACTTTGGACTGTACAAACGGTTTAATGGTTACAAGCCGTTCCTATATAATCAAACCGTTGATGGTTGCCGTTTTTTCAACCGTCAGAAGGCAAATCCTGTAGCCAAGTACTTTTTTGACATGATTAAGGATGCTTCAAACCTAAACCACTCCTGTCCATACAATGTATGTATACATAAGTGGTTTATGATTACACCCATATTAAAAAAATTTAAAATTTTGCCCCTGATTAGCACGATCTTATTGTGGAAAAAGTTTCCATTGATACGGTTGATCACCACGTTACAAATATTCTCCCTTACCCGAAAGGTGATTATATGTTGGAAACTCAATGGATGCTAAATGATAAGTTTGCCGGAGAAATTCAGGTGTATTTGTCTCTGTTCTAAATATTAAAATTACTAGCATTAAAAGCTGTCGTTCTGCCCAAATAAAATAACAAAACTGCGCTGCTGTATTTTTTCGACTAATACTTATTGACATAATGGTATTACCAAATCAGATAGATAAGCAAATAACCACACGAGTGAGTGATATTGCTGCATTGATTATTATCAGTAGATAATGGACTTTATTTAATTAAATTTGATAACAAAATTATTCGGAAATAAAATAATTTCCCACTAATGATAGCGATTTATTTATGTGTATACAATTGCTGCTGAGGTAACCAATTCATCTGCAGTTCGCCTGTTGAGTTTCTTATTATCTCACTGCCTCAATTAAAGTCATAAAAACCGTATGCAAATAGTATATGTCTTTCCATTGTCTTTTCCGCATCTCAATCAATCCTACCCCAATCAAATTTCAGTTGCCAGAAAACCTGAAAGGAAATAATTCGTTATGGGACAGAATCGCCCATCTTAAATTATATTTGACATTTAGTAATAAATGTTGATTGCTTCTCTTTTACTATTCAATTGTTTCATACTCTTGATTGTGATCTTCACTTTACACTTTTTTGGGTGCCATTTTGTCATGGAGTGTTAATTATATCTTTTTAGTACAAATTCCAGTTTGCAGCTTTAATTAACAGATTTCTTTTCAGCGCCTTTTGTGTGTATATTTCCAAAGTTCTAATTTATACGCTTCTTCATGGTTCAATTAACATTTTCGAGTGCAAGTCATTGGCCACGCTTTATCTGTATTTATAAATATGTACATATATAAGTATTTTTATATGTATATGAGGTAAGGTCGTTGTATTTGCGAAAGGCTTTTCGAAAGTAACCAATGCCAAAATGAACATAAACCAACCAAATGAAAGGAGCTTTACTGTTACCAACTGAAATTGCCGACAGCGTGGTTTAAAGGGGTCTTAATACAAATTATTATGATAAATCATCGCTCACAAATACAGGCAAGTGACTAGGTACACAGATACGATTTGGTTTCCACGCCCTCGGGCTAAAGATACAAAAAAACCAAGTTAGATTTTCGAGCATTTGCTTTGTTCTTTTCACGACGAAATACAACGCCTCTGGGCAATTAACATGTTTTTTTCTGCTGACTCGAATTCGAAACGTGGGCATATCCAAATTAGGCAAATAAACTCGGTTCTCTGAAGTCATAACTTCAATAATTTATTGTCGAATGCTTTAAAATCAATGTTAGAGGGCGATTTCGAGACGTATTTATTGGTTTGACGATCAAAACAAGGCGAAACTGGAGAAACTGCAATTGGGGTCAAAGGATGTAAAAAGAGCGATGAAACTGAAAAGCGTGCCAGTAATGAAAAAACAAATAAGGCAAGAACAATAAACAGAAGAAATCCCAATAATGCAGGCGTCGCAATTCGAACGTACATAAACATCAAGAAGGAAAATAAAAGCAATCAGGAAAACATGGTATCAAGGTTATCAAATACCCTTACAGTTACGTTAAGTTAGGATAAAAATAAAAAATTATCAAATTTATTTCGTAATCATTGAGACAATAAATCCTAGGGCATTCCCAGAACAAACATGATACATATGATATGAACTCAAATACTGAGGATCTAGGCATGTGCGAAACTTTTTAAATGGATTCCGAATTTAATTAAGGTTATTATACAGAAATTTGATTCGTAATTAAATGCTATTTTTAATTAATTAAGTGTATTACACAGAAATTTTATTCGTAATTAAATGCAATTCATAAGATTGTTAATCTTAAGTACCCCGTAATTGCTAAAACCCAGAGCCAACCATATATCGCCATAATATATTGCAATATAGTATTGTGCATTTTCGACCTCTTGAGATCCCCAGCAGAGTAAAAGTCGCCAATCCCACGGGGCAGCGAAAATGGCCGAGCTAAAGTGAACTGGATAGGGTATCAGATCGCGACCATATGGCGATTGAGTCGCGTTGCCTTGGCAATGTGACAAAATGCAAATGCCGCTGCTCGGCTAACGGTAAGCTGCAGAAAAACAGTTTCTGCTCTTGATTAAATACACACACAACCATGACAATCACGCACACACGCTCACGTGCAGGAACAAAATCGCAGAATAATATAAAAAAAGAGCGCCAGAAACGGAGCTCGGCAAAGAAAATCGATAATTCGGTGTTTTGAGGTCTGTTTTTTTATATGGTGACCCACCAAAAAAGTGGAGCAGCGTTTATTTGCTCAGTTTTCGTGGTATTAAGCAGTAGGTAACATATGTATGTACGTACGTGTGTACCTGTGAAATTACTCCAATTTATTATTATTATTCCAACTCACCTGCGATGATTTAATTGCCAAGTTTTGATGTTGCCGTGGAGCTTTTTCCACAAAACTCCGCAAGCTTAAAGCAATTTAAAAATATATTTTTGTTGTTGCCGAAAAATAAGCCGAGAAAAACAAACAAAGCGAGAAACTCCGTTTCGGCGGACTGATTACACAACGCAGCAACTTTACACTGCGAAGTTGGAGGCTTGGTTTTGTTGCTTGCTTTTGTTGTTTCAGCGGGGAGGCCGTCGAATTGAGCGGGTTTTAATTAGTGTTTCAGGGCCGCGAAGCTTCTCATGTTTCTGGGCCAGCACAACTCAAAATTTGCCGTACAACTCGCATTGGAGTTTTTGCCCAATAAATTGGCACCAAACAGTTGGCCCACCGACACACACACTCACACGCACACACAGAACCGCGCGTGCACGCACACACACGACCGCCGAGGAAAGAGCGCGGAGAGAGCTCCGCCACGACTGACAACGACTGAGCTGGAAAGCAAACTGAAACCCCAAACGGAGCCAAACCGAAACGCCAGCGGCGCAGTTGACGTCGCTGCCGGCGCTAGCTTGGAGCCCAAGCTCCTGAAAGGTGCGAGCGAGATGGGGAGATAGAGAGAGCACATTTTCACCCTTTGTAACGGTACGTTGAAAGGCAACATGTGACTGACAGTTCGCTAGCCTGCATCCCTGCCACGGCGTTGCCACCCTGTGCAGGGGTGCTACCCTTAATTTAAAGTTTACTGGTTTGTTAAAAGTAATTAATTTAATATGTGGTATATGCCAATTATTTATTCCATTTACTTTGCATACACCGATGATGACCACGATTTTAATTTCATAGTGCCAAAGATCTTTGGAAATTTTTAGCAAACATCTCCGAAGTTGCTGTTGCTCCTACTCGAAGATGGCCAGCTTAACTCGGTGTCCTCGAAATCCACGATATCTCCCAGGCGCACGGGTCCTTTGACTGTGCGCATGAATTGCATCTTGGGTTGATCGACCAGCTGCACCCGAACTTCGGTTAGAATGCCACGGGCTCCAATCCGGTTGAGGATCTTTATGACACGCGCCTTGGACGCGATAGGTTGAGACATTTTTGACTAAAGCTGAACAGACTGGGGTACTGAGTGTCTTGAAGTTAAAATTTTAGATCTACAATTATCTTCTGACGCTAAATACCAAGCTTTCTGGAAATTTCATTAGAGGTATCCAATTTACAATATCTAATGACAGTTTTATTTTGGATATTTTATAATACTTTAAGGTACACATCATTGCCTAATGCCAAACAGCTTATTAAGGCTGAACACTTTCGAACTTTCCGCGCAGCAGGACATCCCTCATTAATCCTGCGAGCTCCTCGTTCTTCTGCGATCGCATCTCATCGATGAGGGACTCCTTGAAGCCTGGATCCTTGGCCGGATCGGTGGTTTCCTGTAGCTTCTGCTTCTCCAGCTGCAGCTGCGGAACTTCCACTCCGAATGTGGCTCCAATTCGCTCCACACTTTGGGCGCCAGTATCACCAATTTTCGACCAACTGTCCATTCCAAACCAAATGCACAGTGGCTCATTGAAGTCCACGACATGAGAGCGGAATGGATGAGCAGGACTGCCGAATCCCAAGTGGCTAATGGTGTCCCTGAGTACCTTGGCCAGTTTGGGCATCTTCTGGGAATAGAACAGCAATGCTCCACCTATAAGGTGAGCCATCGATCGCAGACAGCGACAGGTGTGCTTCCTGATAGCCGGATCGAAACCAGAAAACACATCGTACTTCCCACCGACAATAACCACTGGAAAGGGCAGTGGGTCTGGTTTTTCCACATCTTTGTTTAGCTTACACACTCGCTCCATTGTTCGTTGCTCGAGGATTTCCCTGAGCTCCGGTGTTAGCTTCTCCATCATCTGCTGCGCGGTGTCCCTCAGTCCCTTGTAGGCACACTCCAAATCCGTCCAAAATCGCTGTGGCTGCGAGAGATCTAGCATTATGACGACGGCTAGTTGCTGCAGACCATGTGTGCGCATGGGTACTTCCAGCAGTTGCTCGGCATTGTCCAGGGAGCCCAGTTCCCAAACATTCAACACCTGCGGTGACTTTCCACTGCCAATCCTGCGCCCAAAGCTGTACTCCAGTGCCAGGGTTGGACGCGTTGCATGTTCCTCGCGATCAAAGAACCTATTGATGGCCGTCGTCTTGCCCTAAAATATGTTGTAAAACATTTATACATTTTTGGGTTTTTAAGGACCTCTTTCATCGGTAAAATGGTACTTTGCTTTTATAGCTATTATGAAATCAGCTTATATACATACATACATATGTAACAATTTTCCTCTATCGATCTTAAACGTCTTTATGTTTATTCAATTTAGTTAGCAATAGCAATAGCATCTTTAGGATCTGCTTTCAGTTTCATTATGTTAGACCCATTGCTTACCACACACTTGCTTCCCAAGACAAGAAGGGTCCGCTCCTTGGGTGTCGTTGCGGCCTCCAGTTGGCGGAACCGCTGCTGTTCCTCCGCCAGTCGACCGGCGATGTCCTGTATGCTGGGCGTGGCACTCTCGCCGCCCTCGATTCCCTTTTCGAACATTTTTTGAAGACGCTTGTGCAGGCTGTAAAAAATTTGCGGCAAGCGCATCGCAAGAAATGGAAATAAACTAAACTACTGCGGTTTGTTGTGCATTTAAAACGGTTGCTACTGGCAACTGCGACAGAGTGGCAACTCTAGGCGGTATCAAGATGACCGTTAGATTTACCGTAAGTTGCATAAATGAATTTGAATATATAAAATAATTGATAACTTTGGGTTTGAGTTTCCTTTGTTTATTGGTTGTCATCTGATTAAGTTACGCATTTAAATACAAATATTCTTAACAATTCAAAATATTTTTACCGTAGAAAATCGAATTGCTTAATTTGTAACACTTCTTATTCTTGAAATCCATATAAATTCCCATGAGGAATTCAGGTAACGATAATAATACTAAGAAAAGGAACCAGTGGAACTTGTCCCGCCATTGATTTGAACGCATAAACATTTTTAAAATTATTTTCTATTCTTTAATCATAAGCCTTCCAATGACTTTAAGCTTAAGTGTTAAAAAAGTGCGCAACAAAAGATATGCATTTCAAACTTGCTTTTGCTATAATGCGGAACATAAACGTACAAGCAATGTACAGTGGCAAACAATTTAGACTGAATGGACGCGACAATCGATACTGTATAAATAAAACAAGGATAACAAACAATGAAGACGAACTCGGCTGGGCGGTCGGAGGATTTCCGCGGCAGCCATTTGGAATACTTCGGAATGCTCAGTAGAGCCAGATCTCCTCCAGAATCCCATTGTCTAGCTGCTCGGCGGGCAGGGCTTTCAGTGTGCGCAGCGTCTCCATGTAGAAGGTCAGCTCTGATGTCACCACCCCGTGCTGCGGACCCCCATTGTTGTTCACATTCAACTTGAGCAGTTGTTCCCGCAGCTTGTCTTTAAAGTTTCGATGGACAACGCCGTAGATTTCATGTATCTGTGCCTCCGGCAGCACTCCGGCGATGGCCTCGTGAAGTTTCACCAGGTGACGCGAGATGTGACGGAATGTCTGGGAAGGTATTGGTGGTCGGGCCTCCCAGGCATCCAGTTGAGCTGCCAATCTCTCGGATACAATTCCGTGTATCTTGTTCTCGATCTCCTTGATGTGACCCTGGTAGTCTCGCTCGATGGTTTCGTATCCACTCATCGCTTGGAAATGCTCCTTTAGCTTGGGCAGAAGCCAAAGAACTAGTTGCAGTGCTCGGGAAACCAGAGCAAGGTTGGTGCTCGTAATGGTTTTCAAGCCAGCCACTCGCATTGCTCCTGCTCCGATAATCAGTTGGCAGCTTCTTGAGTTAAAGCAGCGCAGCAGATCCACCACATTCCTTGCATGATAGCTGGCTAGCAATGGCAACCGATGAGCACTGCATCCGTACTCATACAACATTCGGATGAGCATTAGCGATGCGCTGACCAAAGTGTACGGTTGCTTGCCTTCCACCAAGAGCACGGGATTGCCTGCTCCATTGCTTATCAGATTGCCCATCTCCGGTTTGGCATAGTCCCCGGCGGCCATGCGTTCAATTATCCTCTGAAACTCGTGGGGAATGTCTACTTGGCGCCAGCGCTCCTGATCCAGGAGTAAGGACAACTTCTGCTTTCGTTCAGAATGGAATCTTTGAGCGTATCGCGAGGCCTGGACTTTCAGGGCCAGCTGGAGTGGAACACTGGCCATTCCGCAAATGCTCCTTGTTGTCTCGCCAAACTGTTCCACAATCTCAGACAGCTGGAAAAGCTCTTGCTCACTAGCTGAGCTCTTTTCCAGGCTCTGAGGGGATACAATGTTGGCACAACGCTCATGGCAGTAGTGGCAGACGGCTTGAAGGAGTTGTTGCAACTGGTTTTTTAGTTGCTCATGGTGTCCAGGACTTAGAAAGGCTTCTGAATCTATCAGATTCACTGCATCCTGGGCTCCCACAGCTGCGTCCGCTGTTTGCTGCATTATACCGACTACAGTTTTAATTCTTTCGAGAATGGAAACCAAAGCTTGGCTGGAACGTTGAAGTAGAGCAATCCATTCGGGGAGGGTGAGCTCCAAAGCTTGCTCTCCGTGACCCGTTAAACTGATCTCCTGATCGCTGTCACTCCGCGCCAAAACCTCGATCAGCAACTGTTTTATGATGGCTCGAATGGTGGCAATGGCTTCTTGTTGGTAAGCCTGGACAAAGGAGAAATTCTGCTTGCGCAGCAGGCCCATCACAATAGCTACCAGTTTGTCCTCCTCGGCGCAAACGCTGTCGGTTTCCCGGAGAGCATCCGTTAGCGGTCGATTTAGATCGGCGGCAGCATAGCGTTCGAATTCCGTGGTCAGCATTTTGTCAATAAGCTTCTCCATTTCACTAAGCTGCATAGGCAGGTGCTTGAAGCAGTGAATGCCAAGGAGTTCGGCGGAAAGTATCTCCTGGGTGGTGCCAATCAAATCCAAGGCTGCCACATAGTCCTGAGTGCCCAGTAGGAGCTGCAGCATCGGTTGCGTCTTGTGTACGGTGGCCATCAGTCGGAGCTTGTCTAGTGTGAGGTTATAGTGCTGCCTTCTTTGGGCGAAACGCAGCACTTTGAAGCTGTCTACAACCGAGTGGCTGTGCAGCTCCGCCAGTGCTGCCCTCAATTGACGTACTTGGTCTGCCGCCAGCTCCATCTCGGCCAAAATAGCATGCTGTGTGGTCATGGCATGAAAGAACGCAGCCGATTTCTGCGATACCTGTTGCGCTATTTTAACTTCCACCATGTCCAGGTAGTGACTCAGCTGTTCCTGCAGCTGACGGCCTGTTTGCTGGTGACTTTCCGGACTGGAAGCCGATGTTTGCATGTAGTTAGGAAATACCTGCTTGAAGGTAGCTGGGTGATGAAGCTGCAGCTGCGATTTTAGAAAGATTTCGGGCACAGAACTCAGATGGGTTGGTGTCTGAACAGCACTTCCCAGTCCAGGTGCTCCTTGTGCTCCATTCTCCAGCGGTTTATCACGCTCCAGTTGCTGCTGGCGGCGTTCATGCCAACGATATCGCTTCCCTATACTGCCCAGATATACGGCAAAATCCGCATGGGTTATATCTGGCAATCGGGGTGATGGGGGCACATGACTCCTTTCCACAAAGTGCTCGCCCCACTTCTTGGTGAACAGATTGCTCTGCTTTCCTCGCGAGGGATCGTTGAGCACCGCTGGCAGATTTTGGGCCGCCGAGTACACTCCCCATTCGGGCGGCATCTCGCGCGTGTGCTGGTTGACATGGTACTTGGCGACATGGGCGTCGTAGTCGCGATCAGAGACTCCGTCCAGTGGGAGCGAGGCGCATACTCCATTGAAGCCATAGCGGCACACGAATGAGCCGCCCTCGCGGGTGCAGTGACGATTTCGCAGGTGACTGTAATGTGTAATGAGGGCATTTATCAAAACAGCTTTATTGGGTATGAGTAACATTAATTATTCAAGCGTTAGTATTCTACTGAATTCGAAGTGAATTTACAGCGCATTCAATTATCTTTAGAATGAACATCCGAAATAAGTTGTTAGTTCTTACAGTTTTTAATGTGTTTTTCGGTCAGTTTTAAGACTTTTTGTGAATGCGAGAATTAACTTACGTACAAAATTAGGTAAAACACCTCCAAACGAGGTGTCTCGTCTCTTAAGTGCGACTGTAGCTACAGAATTTTAATTATTTCTACCTGCTGACCGTGCAATTTACTTGTCATTTATCGTTTCAGCTCATACATATGTACATATGAAGTTAAGATAAAAATGATATTGACTCGTAAGGAGGCCCATAAAAGATACATCATATGCAAAGATCTGGACGCCACTACTCACTTGACAAAGTCGCTGATGCTCTTGAAGTGCTCCCGGGTGCAGTAGTAGCAGCTCTGCCAGCTGGGCGCCACTCCTCCGGCGATGGCGCCGCCACTGGCCGTCGATAGCTTTCTGATACCCGAGTTCCCTGCTGCCGGTCCAGCATCAACGGACGTGGCGGCACCTCCGGCGGCTCTTGTCGTGGCCATAACACATGCTCTGCGTTTGGAGCGCTGCGCCGTATGGTTTCCCCGGTGGTTCGCCTGCTCCCAATCGTTGACGTGTTATGTCAATGTTTGTTTTCTACTATCGCTCGTCTGCCTTGCTCGCCAGATGTTGCATTTTGGTCGCTCCGCAATAAGTCCACCTTCGTTGGCTGCTCACAGGCCGGGGAATGGGCGCATTTCGTGAGATTTCTGGGTGTTTCTGTTGCTTCTGCGGTCGCTTAATTGAGCAATTGTAAGTGGAACAATATTATGACGAACAGCAGTGCTGGAAAACGACGGCGGACTGGGTGGCAGCTGGCCAGGGCTGGAAACACGCTCGCTGCCAGCTGCTCAATGGAAATTGATATAAGTAATTAATTTCTACTGAACTTTAAAATAATAGTTTCTGCTTAGTAATTTAATAAAAAAGGATTTAATATCTAAACAAAAATATAAAATATTCTTCTGAAGTTGTATGTTGCGATATATATCAAATCTCATTTAGATATTTTGTGAATTTAGTTTTTACTTTGGCAAAAGTGTTTAAATTTTGAAATACTTGTGTTAATTTTCTTCATATTGTTTGAAGTGTTTTCATTTCGAAATAATAATGTCAATATTATGCATATTTTTTGAAGTGTGCCTCCGAAATGCACACGCTTTGCAACACTGCGGCTGGGCAAAAATCAGCTGACGACTGACAGTCGAATTTGGGCCGCTCGAGCGAAATTTGAATCTTTTCGAAGGGGTGCACGAATAATATAGATCATCTAGCCAGTGAGAACTTCAAGGACAATCATGCGACTGGCACGACGTTACGGGATTGCGCTGGTTGCGCTGCTCCTGGTTTGGGCGACCGTTTTGTTCTTCTGCTCTGAAAAAATCATAAACTACGACAACACCAAGTCCAGAAGTCCTGTGGAGCTCGTCTGGTGGTCCAAGCACATGTCCTGGAACTACGACGAGCAACGCCAGTGCGGGATTCACACTTGCCGCATCTCCAACAAGCGCAGCCGCCTTCCGATGGCCCGGGTTCGTTTATTATGCCAAAGTCTCGATTTCCTTCTGCTTCACATCCGGCACACTTGATAAGAATTAGATTGGGAATAATAATACAGAGCTTCAATTCTTTGAGATGTTTGCCACTGTTCCAAGTGAGATATCCGTAATGCTATTCATGTTAGTTGGGCTCCGTAATATAATGTTGCTAATTGTAGATTCACTGTACTTATTCTGTTGGAGCAAGTTGATATAAGAATAACATAATACCTCCTACATATTTACAGGGCGTATTGTTTTACGGCTCAAATATAAAGCCTGGAGACTTTCCCCTGCCCCGGATTAAGCACCAAATTTGGGCCCTGCTACATGAAGAGTCACCCAGGAACACACCGCTTATATCCAATGATGAGTTCCTTCGCCACTTTCACTTCACTTCCACGTTTAGCCGCTACAGCAACTTTCCCCTGACTACGCAGTACTTGCCCAGTGGCGAGGCGCTCACCTCGAAGGATTACTACGTTCCGTTCAGCGGCAAGTCCAATTTCGGATACCGTCCAGTCACATCGGTGGTGTTCCTTCAAAGCGACTGCGACACGATGTCTGGAAGGGAGGACTACGTAAAGGAACTGATGAAGCATGTACCGATCGATTCCTTCGGCAGCTGCCTGCGGAACAGAGATCTGCCAGAGAGGCAAGTAGGCTACTCCATTTGTGACCCATTTGTCATCCAATACATTTTACTCACGCATAACAATCACACGTTCTACATCACGAGAAACACTACTGTCTTAAAATTCCATTGTCATCATGGCATCACCAGGAGCCACTGAGCTTCCCAAGATCTGTTGCTCAGAGTGCTGGGTGCAGTTGTACGGCTCCTTGCCATGTCGCCATTGCAATCCTCAAAATGGAAACGTTTCTAATCAGCGAATTGCACCCAGAAACTGCTGCTGTCACCAGGGAAATCGTGAAAATCTAGAAGAGTTATTTTGCCGTGATGACGATTCAATGATGGAGTTTCAAATTTGTTCAAATGATGACACTGACCAAGATAGCAGTGAACAATGCGGATGCACTACCTCACGTCGAGCTGGAAAAAACTAATACATATTTAATTAGGGAGTGCGTGGAAATCTTGTTAAATGTCTGTTGGTCTTTTTAGCTTGCAGAAGGATTACTTGAATAATCTCTATTCACCGGAGTTGTTGCGTTTCCTGTCTGAGTACAAGTTCATGATTGCCATTGAAAACGCTGCCTGTCCCGATTATATAACCGAAAAGTTCTGGCGTCCTCTGATAATGGGAGTAATTCCAATTTACTTTGGCTCACCCACAATAAAAGTAAGTCGATATTTCAAATATAATTTTCACAATTCCTAAATACCTCCTATAAATATTGCAGGACTGGCAACCGAATAGTAAATCTGCAATTTTTGTAAACGACTTTCACAATCCTCAGGAATTGGTGAAATATCTGAATAAGTTGGCGGGTAACCAACAGCTGTACGATTCGTATCGCCAACACAAACTAAATCTCCGCAACCCCATTTCCAACCAAAATCTGCTCCACAATCTCGTGACGCGCCAGTACCACATAGGCGATTCTTCTTCAGGAGCCTCGCTCTTTGAAAAGTTTGAGTGTGCCGTGTGTTACCATGTCATCAATACTGCCAGGAACGTGAAGGCCGACTCGCGCCATTACAACTGTCCCCTGGAACCGGTGTACGCTCAGCTGGAGGGTCAGGAAATTCCTCAGAATGTCGCCGATTGGCGATCCATGATGGAGGTGGGCCAGTGCCAAGCAAAGTTACTTGATGAGTTCTTTCGCCGTAACCTCAGCTTCACTGATGCTGAGTTTGATGCTGAGCTTAATCGGAGGATGGAGGCAAACAGTTGCAATAATAGTTCCAATACTTAGTTCGATAAATACGTGCTCAGGCTGTAATCATACAGACTTTACCATGTGATAATAAATTTACATAAAGCTATTTACAATAAGCTGCCATTACTGGTATTCAGAATGTGAACTAAAGATGAATATACCTCCTGTACATAGATATTCAAAGGAAACCTATCCAATCTCTTGTACAAAATATGAAAAATTAATATTTTTGTATATACATATGTTGTTTATTTTATTTATACGAGTCCTCCAAGCCGTTGCAGTCTGAAATGCTCACTGCACATAAAGTTGGCGTTGAATACTGACGAAGGACTTAAATTTCCATTGGCCCTTCTGAAAAGTTATGGCTAGATGTTCCTGTTTCAATTGGTTCGAAGCAATCGAACTTAAGTCGAACTTAATATTTTAATTCTGAGACTTCTTGCATCTTTATGAAACAAGGCTTGAATGCTTCTGCAGTTCCAACAGCGTACGGCATTTGCCTACAATTTAAGGGTTTTTATGACATATGTATTAATTGCATTATGCTGCTAGTAATTTACCTACTGCGGCAGAGTATCACCATTCTTGGAGACTATTAGCTTTTCTTGCAGCCCTTTCGAATTTTCGATTGGGTTGTCTTCCCAACCTAATCATCTCCCTCAAAATGACAGCCTTGTAAAAAGGCTCCGAAGACTTCGCCGATTTTCGTTTCGGTTGAAGCAGTTTCGTTACATCTGGATTGGCTCGTTTCTGCGTACATGATGGAGTCCATTTAAAGTAATTGATGAGCCTTCTTCGAGATCCATTCCTGTGCTTTCTTAGTTGACGATGATGTTGATGGGAACTGGCTCTTTTGGAGGAGGTCGAGCTTGCTGCAGTAAAGTCCTGCAAGCCACACGAATGCGGTTTGTCCAGATCCTTGTTTTGAGGAACTTTGAAATGACAGCCCAGAATGGAACTTACTGGTACTTCGGCGCCACAGCCAATGCATTGGCTTTTATATGGAGTCGTGTAATTCGGCCTCGTTAAGTACATATTTTGCAAATTTTGAACCAGCATATATTTAAAAAGAAGTGTTAGATTGGTGTAAGATGATCTCAATGGTAACGAGAATTTGGTAGTTTTACGTTCTACTCTTTACATTAAATCCTTGTAAGAGACTGACTAACTGATAAGAAATCTTTGTAAATGGTTGCTAGATTAAACAAGAAACGAGCTGCGAGGTTTAATATTCCCATCTACTTTTCAAATGATTTAACATAACACAAACATTTCAGAACACAGTTAAAAAGTGGACCTCCTGAAAACCGAAGCCATTTACATCTGCCAGTGCATCGTGGGCATCACCTCCTTGAGCTGGCCCATGTTGACGATCCACAGGCTGCCGTTCTTCATCATCTCCATGGCGTGGATCATTTGCATGGCTGCCTCCTCGGGCATTTGGCGCTTGGCGCTCTCGATGGCCTCCACCATGGACTCGGAGTGGTGCCAGGTGACGTTGTCGCGCAGGTTCATCATCATCTCGCTGTTGGTGAGTCCGGGGCACATGGCCATGAACATGACGCCGGTCTTCTGGTAGATCATTTTGTCACCCATGGAGCGGGTGAATCCGAGGATGCCATGCATGGCAGCGGCATAAACGGCAAAGGCGGGCGCGGGTTCCAGGCCATAGACAGAGGACATGTTGACCACCATGCCACCCATGCCCATCTGTGTCTTGTCCATGTAGGGCATCGCCATCATGGTCGAGTGGATCATGCCAGTCTGGGGGAAAACCAGAAGTTCAGATACCAATCGATACCATTAATTCAGCTATATTATGCTTACCAGATTCATGCCCATCGTAGTCTCCACATCCTTGTCGAGCAGGACACCCTCGCCATTGATCATCACATCGATGTGGCCCATCAGCTGACCCATTTTCTTCATCGCCTGATCGATCGACATCTTGTCCATGAGGTTCATTTGCTGGAAGACCACTTTCACGGCTGGATTAATGGCCTGCAGCTTCTTCATCATCTCGACGTTCTCCATGCGATGCATAATACCCATCATCTTGATGTCCTTCTGCATCAGCTGCATCATCATCTGCCATCCAATGCCGCTGAAGCTGCCCACGTAGACAACATTCTTACCGTTCCAGTCAAACATCGTTGGTTTGGGGTATATTATTATTTGGGACTATGATGGGATGAGTGGCTAACTCTGTCTGATGTTGGGCGAGTAGGCGGCTGCTCTTATATAACACCCCAGATGCAGCGAGTCCAGATGTCTAGCGCATTTATTACGATGACTTTGTTTCAGATTGCAATAACATCGCCACAAATTCAGCTATCTTCCCCGGGCCAATGGGTCAGGACCAGGTCCCTGCACATTGCTGATATTTTCAGTTGCAAAAGACGACAACAAGATCATCTCCAGCTGCCGCCAGCTGTTGCCAGTAGGGACCAGATAAGAAGGCTATCGACGTTGAGGACGTTGGCTGGGTCAGCTGATCTCCATTCACCTGGGTTCCTTATTATAAACTTTTAGAATTTAGAACAAACTGATGCAATGATTAGGAAACGTTGCATCAGATTTTTGTGATATTTTGGGGCATTCTTAAACATTGTTTTCAATTATGTCATCCTTTCTTGAAACCACTCATGATTATATGAATCTGCCCATTACACACACCAAATTTCCTACGAAAACAATAATATATATTTATTTAAATGTCAAATTACTTATTAAACATTTTCTTAGACAATCACAGATGCTTATGCTACAATGTGTATGTATGGGGTATGTACAGGTGCCGGACAACAAGTATATTTCTATATCAATCAAAATCAATTTGATCTGCATGTTCCTTCCTCCTCTTCAAATAATAATCTCTAAATTTCGTTTGGCAAGTTTGGATTGTGCTCTCTTTCGAAGTGCTGCTCTTATCGATAGAGTTTCACCAGCACATAACTAATCATCAAAGTAATCCAAGTGGGTTCCAGTCCGGATCCACCGCCCTCGCTATTTGGGGGAGCAGCTGTTGGCTTGCTGGATGCCGAATCTTCCGTGGTGCCCCCGTCAGATCTTAGGTCTGGATTATAATCACCGCAGGTGGGAAAGTTCTCTGGCACCGGAACCATTTGATCGTCGTTACCCACTTTGAAGACCAGAGCCATGCCGATTTCGGCATGGAACTCGATGTGGCAATGGAAAAGCCAGTAGCCCGGATTGGAGGCCTCGAATCTGATGATGGTATAACCTCCATCTGGAATAGTCACTGTGTCCTTCACGGGGGGATTGTCCAGATTCCGCTTGAGTAGATTGAACTGATCCAGTTGTTTTATCTTAGGGAATTGAATAAGCAATTTTCATAAATTAAATAAACATTTATTATTGTCTAGCAGAAAGTTACTCACCATTTCAATGGTGACGTTCTCGCCCAAACGCTCCAATCCCATGACTCTGAAGGCGTTTCCGTGCAAGTGGAAGGGATGATTGGCGTAGTACTGGAAGCCCTCATCCACGATGATCATCTCGACCACGGCGCCCAAGGGAACCTGCAGGACATGATGGCACTTGCAGAACTCCTGGCGACAATCGATACCCTGGTCCATTAGGCTCGTTTCGTTACAGAAGTCCGAGTCCTTTAGCTGACTTCTAGAAGGAAGCAGTGCCAGCGAAGGAAACTTCAAGGTAATATGGTTCAGTTGGGGGGTGTAGAGGCGATTCTGCTGGGTCATCTCCATGTCCATGGCATATAGATCCTTATCGTGAAAGTCGGGATTGTTCTTTGTATAGAAATCGTAGTAGATAAAGAACTTGTAGTCCGCTTCCGGCTTCAGAGTATCGTGATCGATGCCCGATACATGATCATATATGGGCAGAGCCCTCATTTCCGCCACGGTTTTGGTGTCCGGATATCCAGGACCCCGGTTCATCACATTCAGTTCGATGCCCTCAGCCTTGTGGCCGTAACTCAATTCCGCAGTGGGCTCCTCATCCGGAGCTCCCTCATAGCGAAGGATGGCCACTTGAAAGGCGGAGGTAAACACTTCGCTGCAGTCCATCAAACCCTTTAGCCGAATCCAATAGTTTCCCACCTCAAGATTGGCATTCAGCACAAAGTCAAATCGCTCACCGGCATAGGTAACTATAGAGCCCACGTCCATTGCCTCGATATCAAAGCCGTCAGAGTTTATGGCCGTCAGGTTATGACCATCTATGGAAACCACTATTGGACAGTTCAAATACTCCGCATTTATAATCCTGAAGCGGTAACGAAATCCTCTCCGCACTGTGTAAACCTGATGGGGCACTAGTTCCAAGGGTATCTCATTCAGATTACCCCTCTTTTGTCGCGAATTCACCGGATACAGTTTGGTGCTATTAGTTTTCGCCAATCGAGCTTGTCTTGGTAGTGTCTGAACGAAGTCCACCTGGGATTTGGGCAGCGGTTCCACGGACTGAGTGCTCCTCCCCTCGGCTCTTCGATGGGTTTGCTTCGCTTCCGCCCAAATGCGGTTGTAGTAACGTCCTTTGCCGTTTACGAGCAGGTTGTGTGGCTTGTTGTCACCGCGGGAGTGATGATGATAGGAGAATATGCTGGCACCCGTGTCGTGGATCCAGTCCTGGACAATCATCACATGTTCGCTGAGATCAAAGTCGTAGAGTCCGCCATGGGGTTCGGCTGTCTTTGGTTTCCGGATGATCAAGGCACCGAAGACTCCATCACCTCTCTGCATTCCCGTGTGCGAGTGCCAGAAGTGGGTGCCCGAGAGATCGGCAGGAAAGGAATACCTGAAGGTCGCATGCGGGGTAATTGGACACTGGGTGATGTGGGGCACACCATCCATGTAGGGCGTCTTTTTCTGGTGCAGACCATGCCAGTGAATCGATGTGCTCTCGCCCAGCAAATGATTCTTCACATCGACCACTATTTCATCGCCCTCGCAGACTTCAATCGATGGTCCGGGCATCATTCGATTGACCACAGTGATGCTCCGCTCCAGACCATCGCCCATGACGCAATGTGGTCGGGAGCAATCCGTCAGATTACGAGGACAATCGTAGCAGGCCTTGGAGAAAGTCTGGTACCATTCCACCACGAATTTGTAGCGGCAGGTCATGGGTTCGGCTCCCACCTGACAATCCCGGTTGCAGGGGTGGTTGCGATACCATTCGGCTGTCCAAATATCATCGCTGCTCTCCTCTTCATTATCCTGCAGCTGCTCAATCCTGCTCGCTTTGAGGGGCCTGCAGTAGGGACAGCAGTTGCGCTCCTCCAATCTTGAAGCTGGACAATCTTCAGTCAAAGCCGGACAATTTCTGTTGTATGTATTCATTACGATTTGGCCATTATCCAGACGTCCACATTCGATGAGCGTGCAATCGGCATCATTGTGCCATGACTCGCCCACTGCGTACAGGGTGTGGTTGTGTTGGCAGTGGGTCCTTACACACTCCCCGCAACAGCTGCCTTCGGCACTACGCAGCTCGGAACCCTACAATGCATGGACAGGATGATAATGTTGTAGTATTTGGGCTTATTGGTTACCTACCACTTCGCAGTAGAACTCATTGCAATCGACTTGGGTGGCCACAATGTGCGCCTGTGGATCCTTGGCCACGCCAGCTGCACAGGAGTACACCAAACAGGGATCCTTTGGGGCAAACCACACCGCGCCAATCTCCTTTCGGTAGGTGGCGTTGTACTCTTGGTACAGGCAGACGGTACTTTCATCTAAATTAAACAAAAATGCATTATTTCATTTATCGAAATATAAAACATAATATCCTACGGCTTTGCTGAAGTACCTTCTTGTATATCTTGAATACAATTTGAAAGGATAACAACATAAATGATTCTTGACATTTAAAGCATTTTGTGATGCAATTTTTTGAAGTACATTGAGCTTTGCTCGTGTTTGCCTTGGTAAACAATCGCTTAGTGGTACTTAATCTCTAGCAAATATAATTCACTGGGGGAATTGAATATGATCAAAGAAAGCCGAACAAATGTGTATTTAAGACAAGGCACTTTCTTTTGTCTTTTTTGCAGCTTATCACGCGCCTGAAATTTGCAATTTATAGCCCATTTAATTGAAGGCATGGCTCAGTTTCACACTTGGGTATTCCCACATATGTACTGATTTCAAAGAGCTATTATTAGTTCATAAATGTTCACAACGTGTGCTAATTGTCTGGCCCCAGGTGATTTGAACTCTGAATCACAGAGTGGTAGACATGTGCGAATTATAATGAAAGTGAGAATCGCTGTTATTACTTACTTCTCACAACACAAGGAAAACCGGTTCTTTAGGTATATATATCAAGTAAGCATTGTGTTACAAATTTAATTATTGATGTGTATTAAGTAATAATTCCTTATACAGAAATTTTTAATAAATATTTTCTTTCAGCAGTTTCAAACTAATTGGATGCAAATATAAATGGATTCCCATTTCATTGCTCATACAGAATGCGACAAGTGTCGACGTTTGTATGTAAATTAGTGCACAGACATTCAATATGGTGATAAAACGCAAATAAAATGCCATCGAGATCCGGATCAACGGGGACAACCTGGCCTATTAGGCAGTACATTATAATTGTTCCCTATCGAATGTGGAATGATTCAGCATGAGCTATTAGATATAGTAGTCGGCGGATCTAAGGAAAATGTCAAGTGCTCGGCTAATCTTCGTTGACTCCGCCATAGGCTTATAAAGATATCTGGTCATGAAAACGGTTTAACCAAGTTTAACAAAAGGTAAATATTTTGTAGTTCTAATCAATGGCACGTAACAATGACCATAGGCAATTGGAAAATCTCTGCTAAAAATACACTTACATTAAAAAACAATTAACTTTACGACACGAAATTGTGATTAAATGCCAGATAAGCTGATAAAACGCTCTTGTTCGGTTTCCAAGAAGCACTAAAGTAATGTGATATTAAATTAATATACAATTTTCAGATTCACGTGTAATTGCTGTCCCCACCTAACACCCATTTAATTTATTACCATCTGAAGCTCGCGAGCTGTCAATCTAGTTTAATAAATCACTCAAAATGTTACCTGCTTATTTTTCGCTGCTTTGTTTGCTGATTTATAGTTACTGTTTTACGATACTGCGACCAGAAGTTTGTTGGCATTTTTCGAGATGCTATGCTGTTTGTGGACCTACTTTAAAACCACTTCAATAACGCAACACATTATTCATGAATGAATCAACAGTTTGGCTGTGGAGTGAAATATGAGCTCTAGCCATATGGGTCTTCGGCTCATCCAGATCCTGCTTGGAATTTCCTATATTTTTTCCTTCTTTTTAAGGAAAAAAGGGAGACTGGGCGATGTCAGCAGCTGTTTGGCATATAAATTATACTGCGTGTATATGCGACTGCTGCACGTACAGCGCACATACATATAGCCAACTCCGTTAGGCGGATGTCTGTCAGTTGAGCATAAAGGCCGTGTTTATTGACTGCTTTTCGGTGAGAGTGTGTATGTGTGGGGGTGCGCTGCATCGTTTATTGGCTCGTTATGGCCATTATTATGATTGCCTACCTGCCTGCTAGCCGACATTTGTTTTAACCATCAAGCACTCGCTTGATTATTTGCCGGACTTACGCAAATTCACATGCCAGGTGGGCAGATACTTCGCAGATACTTTTTCGCATGTGAGTGGCAATCGCTGTTTACATTGTCTAAAGGAAACACACTTGCATGTACACTTCGTTTTTGCTTGGTGTTAATGCTTTGCCGGCATTAATTTGGCCAAGGTCGCTGGGCGTTAATTGCCACGTGATGCTTCTAACGCTTTACACGGGCCTCAAGTTTAATGGACATATGTAGAAAAAATGTGAACTCGTGGGTAATTTTCAAACAATAAGTTACATAATGCCTAGTATGCTGAAATCGGAATTAAAATGTTAGATGCCAAAATGTCCATTAAATGTGTCAAGAAAGCCTTTCAATAAATATATGTATATAAAACTATAATCCCAAGTAACCATATGTATTTATGTACATAGCTATTTCTTACAACTTAAAGTTAACCTCTTTCCTTTAACTTTTTTTTTTAAAACATTAATTTTATTACGCCAACTAATGCCAAATTTTATTTTCACTGCACTCAACTCACCTGCTGCCTCGCTTACAGTTTGCAAGCCACTGGAGTAGCTCGCAAACTGCAGCAGCGCTGTTAAGAAGACTGTTATCCGAGATAACTCTGCTACTCTGCTGTTGACAACCGGCATTTTGTTGTTGGATCTGCTTGGCCTTTTCGTTGCTTTTGTTTGCGTTGCTGTTGTTGTTGCTGTTGTCGTTGTTGGCTGGCTCATTTGGTCATAATTATGGCTTACGCTCATTCAATTTGAGGTTATTGTTTTGGTTTTTATCCCAATTGTTGCTGGCTGCTTTTTTTTCGCTGGCTTCGCTTGTCTTTTATTGAATATTTTAGGAGCTATTTTATATGTTTATGCGGAAGTTGTTGTTGATTTTTAGCACAAATTGCCTGCAAATGGGACATATGAAATAACCATTGACCATTATTAGTACAAAGTGCGGTTTCAATCACACTTAATATTGTTATTATATGTATTTATTTAGCTGCTGACTGCAGCATTTAAATTCCAATTTTATTGGACTATATTTTTCCTATTGCCCAATTGAGTTTGTCTTGCTTGGCAGATGGTCTGCTGATTGTTAATAAAACGAGTTGCTCAGGTGGTAAAGATGTTATATTATTTTTGGACTCAATTCTGATGTATATGCATACAAAAAGAAAGGCGTTGCCCTGTTTCAAGGCAAGTTAAGAGTCTAAAGTCCACGGACTAAGGCATTCCATTTGAATGAATCAGAATATTTTAACGTTCATTTAATGGAATTAGTTTTCTATTTTATATTAACACAGCACCTTTTTAATAAATTGCTTTCATATTTAATACCATTCAATCCGTATTCATTTCTGCGCCTAATTTCATCCAATAAACACTAACAATTACACAAATGGTGTTTTCCTAGTTATTGCCAAACTCAATCAATGGAAATATCCTCTAACCCTATAGCCACATTAGCCTGGCATCCTGTATTGGCCTCCTCGCACGAATGAAAGGAGCACGCACATGGCCGAAAAGGGCAAACATATGAGAGTATATATTGTATATTAAGTTAAGTATGATTTACGGCCCGACTGTAAATATCACTCATACGCTCCGTGGTGCTGGGCCACTGTGTGCTATTGCTTTTGGTCCTATCAGCCCATGGCCAGCCAGTTGATTCGTCGGCTCAACTCAAGACACAGGGCACACACACACTCGCAAAGCACGTACGAATTTAATTAATTAGCACGCTGTTCCTTAAGCACACACACACACAGGCAAATGCTCACGTCCGCCAGTGGGTCCACTGTCCAGAAGCCAAAGTCCATTGGAGCCTCACACATAAAGAAAACTGCGCATAAATTATGAAAAGCAAGAGAAAACGCAAACGGTGAGGGGAGGAAAATACGAAAGAAATGACTCAAGACAATTTCATATACATATTTTCATATGTACAGCCAGTTGTGTTTATGCTCAAATTTTCTTGGCAGATTGCTCAACGTGGAATTTATACATAAAAATAGGGTTTATTGCAACATTTAACTGGCTTGTTTCTAGCCAATTTTATTACAACTTGTCATATCTTTTTAAATAGCTACAACATTTTTATTTTACTCAACCTTTTTTTTTAATCTAACTTTAATATATTTTATAGAGCATTCACACTTGTCTTAAGGCAATGCAAAATGTACAGGACTGCCTCCATTGTCTTCCACTTCGTCTTATTTGGCAACACTTAAAGTATCTTAAAGATTTATGTGCTGCGAGTACCTTAAGGGCCAATAGGAGCTAACGCACTTCCGTTAATTACGAACTAAGTACCCTGCTACGTGGCTCTCTATTTAAGTCAAAACCAAAACAACGTTGGAGTCCCCGAAATTAAAAATCTATCAAAAGATAGAATCATTTAATGAGCCATACGATTTTTAAATAAACGCTGCTGTTAGCCGGAACTAAAAGATTAATTAGTGATGGAGTCAAATGAGCAATAAATCAAATTTATTTGTTCGCTGTTCGATGCCAGCTTAATTATTTCTGATCGTCTTTCACAAATCTCAAGTGGATCTGATCGGTATTTATTCGACATGAGTCAAAGAATAGTTGTCTGACTCTTTTTGACAAGTCTACAATCACTTTAATTAACATCCTCTTGGATTCTGAAGTGCAAAAGTCACGTGGAACGCCCGATTACTCATATGGGGTAAAGCTTTGATTTGATTCGAGCTGTCCATAAAATCCCACTGGGGTATTCCCTGAAAACTAACACAGAGAAATTAATTTCTGCTTCATTAATAATTATTTATTCGTTCTGCACATTTTGTTTTAGCCTACGTAGGGATTCTGTTACACTTGAATGACTACGATATATGGAGATCCCCCTAATTTACATTTTGCATCTTGAGAAACTAGAACAAAGAAAACATCCGACTAAAGCTGAACGCAGAATTCCCAAGAACTTGCGTAATTAATAATGTACATTTTATGAATTCATTGCCTTACATATACATATGTTTTATTTCTATTTATTTTAACGAAAGGTTTCGTTATTAAATTGAATTATTTACTTATTTAAATTAAAAACTGAACTCTCAACCAATCGTATTATTTGCCCAAGTCTTTAATTTGAACTGCATTCTGTCGTACGTTTTTTACCTTCCAATAAAGTTAATCAGATTAACTTTTATTGTTCATTTATTTAATGTCCAATTTCTTCGTACCAACATTAAATTTCTCTGGCAATCAATCAGAAAATGATGTTATGCAAAGTTTGCTTTTATATTTTTTTGCCTCGGAATTTTGTAAGGTACTACCAAATCACACGTTCGTAAAAAGTTGCATAACGCCCAAAGTGTATTTCGCTTCACGTTTTTACATATAATTATCGGGCTTGTTTATTGTAATTTGATTTGATTTATTTAAGCCCTTTTTATGCGAGCATCTTATTTTGACAGCAATTAGCCGATACTGTGGCCGCTGCTTGACCGCTTTTTCGACCGTCTTGTTGGCCATATTCATGGCATGTTGGGGTAGGCAACGAAAGACGAGTGAAATGCGATAAAAACATGGCAAAAGTGGAGATGGAGTGGAAGATTTTTAAGCGGCTTATCGCCGCTCGGCCGTTACGACGGCCAATTGGTGTTCCCGTTTTCTCCCTGGGAAAACCCTCACACATGAACTTTGAGCCGGGTTCTGGCCAATACCACTCACACTCGCACATCCAATTCCAAGCCATGGTCAGCCGGTTTGCCCGGCGGATCAGTCTTTTGCCAGCTATTTTTAGTTACAAGCCACAACCAAAACAAAAAGCGGAATCAAAACAAACTTTGCGCGTTGCACGAAGCGAGCTACGTGCCGACTTGAAAAAATGAAAACAAGTGAAAAACAAAAGACCAAACCTTTTTGTATTCGCTTGAAATTATTAAGAAGAGAAAAAAACCTGCGGCAGTAATTTATGAATTGCGAATCATGATGTATTTCGAAGATTAATCTTGGGGGCCTTTTCTTGTTGCTGATTAGAATCTCTATGGGTAAATGAATGGAGCAATTATTTTTCGTGTTGCTATGCCCGACGAGCAGTCAAGAAACAATTTATGCTGGTTTTCTCAATGTCAAGGCCGTTTGTAAATGGCCAAGAGGCGGAGGAAGTGGAAACTGTTGAAGCGTCGAATGGAAGTTTCCCATTGTTAATATGAACTTATACAGGTTTGGATTGGCCATACACTTTGTCTTTAAATTTGCCATGCAATTTTAAAAATATTTTCTTTGATTGAGGCAGAAAAATGGGACATTTATTAAAACCATCAATCAGATCAGCTGACTCTGCAGTGTTAAATATCTCACTGGGCAATCAAGCAATTTCCTGCAACTACCACTATCGATATTTTGAGAGCACAACAATAGAATGCAATGATTTCATATTCCAAAAGCAAGATTTCGCCACAGTCTACGGAGATCTACGGTTATATCAAAGTTTCTGTTTATAAAATGTTTATGGAACACAGTTAAAACATTTATGGGCTACGTGATTGTGTTAGTCAGTGTGCAATGAAGTTTGGGCACGCTGGCCGTTTTATCCCAGCAAGTTAATTCACTTATCACACGATATCACATTATGATATCACAAAATACTATTTGCTTAGAACCGACGCGACCGAATTTTATTGCCTCAGATTAGGGTCTGGCTTGTATTCCGTTCGGAACCCAATCACCCAAGGAAAACGGGTGCAAAGTCCTTAGAAAATCTAGGGACATCTTCTTGCCGTAATATTAACCATCTACTGGAGATGCGTACCGCTCGCCGCTTAAACCACAACTAACGCGATTCGAATGCAACTAAGGCGCTTTTGAAGATAGCCAACGGCGCGCCGAAGAAAACGCGCTAAAACTGAGTGTGATTTTTAGCCCAGTTGGACCCTTTTGGCCCGCTCGTTTCGACCGCTTCGGCAGTTGATAACGGCCGAAACGATCGGCTAAGAGAGAGCCAGGTGGGCGATCGTAAGAGAGGCAGAGAGTGTTTGCGCGCTTCCGTCGTCGTAATTAACCCGCAGCTCTTGGCCATGTTAACAACTGAGTACTAGGCATTCAGTTAACATAGATCTCGTGCGGTTATCGCCGTTGATTGGCCAAATGTTAACAGCTCCCCTCAGATGCTGCCGACAGCTGGCTTCCGTGTCTTGATTAGAATTCGACGCGTTTCTACGAGTGTATCTACAGGTGCTGCTACCCATTTTTGGGAAGATAATGTCTACCTTTGCATTTATTAAAATCTGTCCAGCATATTTGCATTGATATTTTAATTTTAGCTACTGCCGTTTGCGGTGCTCTGCGCTTGTTCGTTTTGATTGGTTTTTTCTGCTCTTTTAATAAGCGCCTCTACTATTATTGGAATGTAGTTGCCATGGTGTGGAAACTGGATTTTTCTTCAGATTGCTGCTTGAATTTGAGTTGATTGCTACTTGATATTGCCTCCGCCGTTAAATAGAATATTAATTCATCGATTGGTGTCAACGGTATTTTCAGCACGCTTGCGCAGTTTATTGAACTTGGTGCATTCATAATTATTTCCATTTCCATACTTTATTTTATTAAACATTTTATATATTTCATATCACAAAGGGTATGCTACTATTTGTATATCAACGTTAGGCGCCGAAATAAGGTTAAGTGCATACATTTATAAATGATATCACCTGAGCAGGGTGAAGTTATTAAACCCGTTTATATTCCCACTGAATTGAGTTAATGAAGATACACATTTTGTACTAATGAGACATTTATCAACGAATGCTTCGTCTCTCTCAAATAAGAAATATAAATTATGCAATTATGAATATTGATCTAAATGCCGAATTTTAATTACTTGTATTAATTATACAATTGCATGCTGATTTAAATGAGTTTACTCAGCTTGGTTGACAAATTGTTCTCAGTGCAAAGGCGCATTTTACTCACCACACTGGGCGAAAGAGATTGAGAGCTAAAAGCTCCGCTCTCCGCCTTTCGGCAACTTCATCCGGCAGCATCCTGTCAATGGTCCTCGCGAAGGCTCCCCGAACTCACAGGACCCGAGGCCACGAAGGCTCACTACGGATAGTAGTACTACAGCATGTCCTTTTGGCAGGCTGCGCACCGCGTTCAGTTTTCCGCATTGGTTTCGGTTTCGGTTTCGGTTTCAGTTCGCTTGTGGACGTGCGTGCGGCAAGAACCTGCTGGAAAAGCCTCGGAACGGACCTGGTTAATGGCTTACGGTTTTGGCTACTGATTCCTGGTAACTGGCTAATGTGGCGGACAGGCGGCAGGATCTGTGGATTGCTGCGATTGTGCCAATATGTCAGCGCCGCGTTTGTGGGTGTGCGAGTGAGTGTGCGGGTGTGAGACAGTGTCCTTGGGCGGACTAACAGGTTACCCGTCTTCCCAAGTGTTAAAGTGCGGCCAAAAGTTTTTCGTTGTACAAAAAATACGATAAAAGGTCTCAAATCTGCTGTCGCCTCTGATTTAAGCTGCAAGTTTGCCTAAAGGATTAAAAAAGCCATCTCGTACTTGTCATAGGTAAGTTTTCTAGCTTGTTTCAGTTTTTTGACTGCGCTTTGAAGGTCCTTTTTTTTTTTTTGAAAACTGTCGCCTTTGTTTGTCAGCCCGAAGTTTATTGTCATCCCTTGGAAATCTTTTACTCGCTGCTGTGTAGGTTTTTTCGCACTACCATGGGACCCATAAAATAAATCAGCCAAAACGTAGGTGGCCCTTTGTGCCGACTTTAATTTATTTTGGCCTCCGTGAGCCCAACTTTCTATGCAGATATTATCTATAGTAATGGCATCTGGTGTCTGTTAGTTATGCCTTGCCAAAATTAGCAGCCCACATGGAATACAATTATTGCCGAAAGTTAGGAGATTAAATAAAACGAAGTGGTATGGCTTACACAACTAACCCGTTTCAACTCATACAAGTCACCACAAGACTTTAAGGCATATAAAGTAAAAAAAGGACACATTTACACTTAATTTCACAAAGAGGTTCGAATAACTAATGCACGTACATTTTTTGTTTGTTTATAATCAAACCCTATAGGGTCGCAGTTGGGGAATTCCCCATTCTCTGTATCACGTTATCTCCCCGTTCATTTTATTGTAGTTTTCTGTGTTGGCCAGCGGCAAAAAGGTTTAATTTATGGTCCTTTCAGATTGGCCCAATGCCCACGATACATTTGCGAGACACTTTTTCAGTGCCGAAAACTTTTTTGTTTACTGTCAGCTTCGGTGACATTTTATGTGGACCACGCCAGGACCAGGCAGCCACCATGACCAATAAACATAAACAGAAAATAGTCGCAAGTGTTGAACAAAAAAGCCGTAAAAAGCCGCCGAGAAGTGCCAGTTAACTTTCCTCACATTCATCAAAGCCTTTTTCTTTATGCGAGTTGCGTGCGGCCAATGAAATCCTTTATAATTCGTAATTGAGCTATGAGCTTCTACCAAAATACAGATACCTGCACTACTTAACTACCAACCCACTCACACAGTTGCAGATAAACAAAAACCAAAGGGATGTGCACTCATACACACTAATTAAGTGTAATAAAATCATAGATATTGCGCATAGTTTGTATAAAAAAGTATTTTTTGCATAATGTGGCAGTGAAATTATAAGTTAAATTATAGATGAATTAAGAAATATTTTTGAGGTAAATTATGTTCAGTACAATAAATTAAGTTTAGCTTACACCACATAATAATTTCATGTTTGCTTTTGGATAGATTACACTTTTAATTGTTTCTAAGCTAAATACATTTAAGATTTTTCTGAAAGGAGACAACTTTTTGCTGTGTAAAACAGACAGCACAGACACTCAAGCCGGGTAGAGTAAATTACTGAAAAAGGATATAAAACCAAGCAGGATACAACCACGAGAGAGCGCAGCAGACACGAGAAATGTAATTAAGGCGGCAGAAGGAGATGACAAAGCACGGGGAAGGGTGCGGGGTATTGGCCATAAAACATGTACGCAAACAAAAATTAAGGCATAAACTACAATTGCTCAGATTATTGCACGTCGTGAGCTTTATGCAGCGGACAATGAGGACTTGATGGCTCGAGGACTCGTTTTGCAAACGAGCAGAAACGGTACACGGCAGAATGCGATGTCCTTTAATGGCTTTTCGCCTGCTTTATAATTTCGCAATTGTCATTGTCGTCGTGGCATGTAATTTTGCTTTATCGAACTACGATTTGCCTTTTGTTTCCCTCTCTGTTCCTCGTGCGGAGTGCCAGCTGAAGTGTTGCTCTAAGGTAAACGGGGCGTATACGCAATGTGAATAATTTATGCCTAAATTGGAAAATGACTCGTAAACAAATAAAATTCTAATTGCAGGGAAGGCACCCGCGATAGAAAGGCTTTGCATCGGTTCTAGTTAAGGCGGTGTAACCGAGGCCTTTGACCCAAAAAGGGAAACCATATAATTCGACATATTAAATTTGTAATCAATACACTCCTATCATCATTTACGGATGATTAAGCTATTTAGTTTTAAATTTTTAATTTGTATATTAATAAACATTTAAATATTGCAACTTGCCTGCATTCTTAATGGTTATTGACATGCACCATTACCTTTTCGGTGCACTTCGTGCTCGATGTCACTCATTCGATCCATTAACTGTTGTGTTTGATTTCCTTTCACAGCATTGAATAATACATTTCCTACCCACCATAAAATATAAGCAAGTTCTGTTAAAAAGAAACTAGCTTCCCAGTCGCAAAGAAGTTGCTTCTTGAGCATTCAGCGATTTATAAATTAGCAACATGAAAAGTTACTTAGACTCAAATCCAGAAGTTTTCCGGATTAATGTATGCCAAAAGCAAATGTTGAACTTACTTAATGCGCCATCAACTTGCAAGCCCTTTATTGATTAAAACGTTATAAAGTTACCCAAATTAAAAAGTTTCAACTGCATAAACGCAGTATATTGGCGAATAGGTTTTGAAAAATGCCACTAAAGGTAAACTTTGCTGGCGAAATGCGACCAAAAGCATTTGCAATGAAATTCCAAGAAAATGCCAGGCCAAGAGTGGCTAGAAAAATGTTTCCTTTGGCTGCCTGCGGGGACAGGCGGCCATCAACGGGGACTCCGCTCCATGTGGGCGGGAGGTGGGAGGGGCCAAAGGGAGCCTCGAACCCCTCGGGTCGGGTATCGTATCGAAAAGGAGCTGGGGACCTGTCATCGACAACAGCTGCTGCTGCTGCTGCTGCTGCTGTTGCTGCTGCTGCTGCTGCTGCTTTCATGTCTGTGACCTACTGACTGGTGTAGCCTACTTTCCGGGGCACATTCCCACTCCTTTTGCACGCTCCTGCGGAAGCTGCGCTTAATGACATCCACGGCCTTGCTGCATTTTTCCCACCGCACCCTCGCCGCCTCGAATTCTCTGGCACTGACGTTGACACAATTAAGAGCATGAAAAATACTTTGAAAATTTAATTAAACAGCCCGCCATTGACGTCACCACATAACCGAGCTCGTCTTAAGTATGTGGACTGCTTGTCGCCCCGAGCAATGCGTTTTCACGCATCCAACTCCACGGCACTTGGCATTCGTCATTTGTCATTTGTCAACTGCTCGTGATCTCATCGATGTCTTTTGCGGTCTGATTGCCATTCCGCATGACTTAATATTGCCTCGATAAGAATGGCCAGGCCTTTGAATGCTATTTGCACGGTTGGCTATACAGAATGTGTCGGGAAATGATGGGGTTGATAGCAAACGACAAGCAGCAATCATTTCTCAGATCATTTCTGGGGGAGTTACGTAAAAATGTGACTAATAGCGTTTTCGCTCGGCTGTAATTTCGATTACAAACACAATTTTTTCGTGTTGGCTTCGAATTACTTTTA